AGTCGGTCAACTTCGAATGGTTAAAAATGTACTTTCCGCTATGCGTTGGCCCAAAAAAAGTACACAGCGTTTGCAAATAACGTTCAAACTCTATTATATTGCAAAAATCTCGGATATGAAAATTACGTTTCAGTAGCACTTTAAAATAATCAAGTTATTTTGTGTGGTGTACAGGCACCTGCATCATCAAAAATTTCAAGTGCAGAGGATCTTGTTGGTATGAAAGTCTTTGTAATTTTTTTTATCTTAAATACTAAATGCTTAAGTAGATTGTGAAAAATATTTAACATCATTTTGATCTGTTTTCTTTTACAGGAAAAAGGATTGTCACATCCTTTCCAAATATTGCCAGAGAGTACTTTTTTGTAAGTTCTGAGAACAGAAATTTTGATTTGTGCAATTTTTTCTTAGTACTTGAAAACCTGATTTTTAAATTTTTTGTCAACTATTTTTTAACATTTTTGTAACCTATTGATATGTGTCTGCAGCAATTTGATCCCAACAACACAACAAAGATAAACTATGTCAGTGGATCTGTGGAAGTAAGTTAATTTTTATTGTAATGTAGCTGGAAAAATGTTCATTCTTCAATTATGGTGTATGTGTATCTATATGCATTGAATTTCTCTTCAAACAATGTTAAAACTACTGCTTTTACTATGTGGCCAGACAATTTATTCATGCCTTAGATGTGGGTTCATCAAGATATCACAGATGCTTGTGGAAGTTTGAAGAGGACCCAAGAAGCTAGAGATAATATTATTTAAAATAAGGCCACAAGCTACTCTGCTCTTATGCATCTTTTCCACTCTATAGAAATTATAAGCATGATTCATATCATGATGAACATGTGCAAATGTTGTAAGGGAATGAATTATTTATTTGTGTTTATTGTCAGGTGGCCTGCAACCTGGGAGTTGCTGATGGTATAAGTAAGTGTGTGGTCGGATGTTATTCTCATTTGTTGCACTTAGCCCTAAGCTTAGAGCTCACTGTAGAAGAGGAATAAGATTATTGACCCTTTACTCCCAGAAGGGATGAAGATACAATTTATCCTTACAAAATAAATACAGTATCAAGTGGAAAAGTGATGAGGATAAAGAAAAATATTGATTTAATAAGAATAATATTAATTTACCTAATGCTAAATTCGGTAAAATTGAAGAACAGCTCCCCAAAATATCTGATGGCTGACTGTTGTGCAATTTTCTGAGTCTTTGAAAAAATTTACTTGTGCTTATTTATTCCAAATTCAGAAACAGTAAATAGACTGTCATCTTGGTAAAGGCTGTTAGTTTGGAAAGAAACTGTTTGGGGCTGCGTCGGTGGGAGTAACGAAATAATTTGGATATATCAACAAAGTTGAAATGGTAAATTGGCCACCGTAACGATTACAAAAGCTGACGTTTCGAGCGTTAGCCCTTTGTCGGAGCCCCAAACAGTTTCTTTCGAAACTGGTAAGTTTGAACTTTCACTATTACCTCAAAATGAATTTTGACGAACACCACACTATAGCAGTAAATTTCAAGCACGAGCATCTTAATCTGAATTTGTTTTGATTATGTTGGCCAACTGTAATTGTGAAAGTTCAAACTTACCAAGATGACAGTCTATTAAGTTTACTCATTTCTGAATTTGGAATAAATAAGCACCAGTAAATTTTTTCAAAGACTCACCAAATTGCACAACAGTTGGCCGACATATTTTGGGGAGCTCTCCTTCAATTTTACCCTAAACTCTCCAAACTCAAATCATAAGAATAGTTCATAAGAATAGTATAGTAGACAGTAAAGAGAATTAATGATGAGATCGTAGGAGTAAAAGGGCTAAAGGTGTATATAAATGTTGATAAATATTATTGTGTGTGGTGGTTACACACTAAGTTGTTTTATAGTTTGATTGACTGTCTTTTATTGTTACATTTGTGTATTTTCTTTTTTGTTTTTTGTTTTTTAAGTTGATCTTGTAGAAACAGGGGACACTATGAGAGCTTCTGGCCTAGAAATAGTTTCTGAGATTATGAAAACTGAGGTGTGGTTATTTATCCATTTTTAATTTATAAATAATTAATAAAGGTATTAATCAGTCAACTGTCTGATTAATGAATGCATCAATTTTTGAAGTATCAGTCCTCTAACATAGTTTTTATTTTATGATCATAATCAGAAGAGAGGAGAGGACTTTGAAGACTTTGTTTTTTCCAGGCCTCTCTTTCTTTTTGAAAGAAAATTCTCCCTCTTAAAGAGCTACTGTGACAAATTTTTGCATTTTATTTTCCCAATTTTCTGGTGTTAACTTCACATTTAGACCCTAAACTATAAGGATAAACGTAAGTTTCTCAAATTTGACAACGTTATTCCTTAAAAACAGCACCGCAAAGACATTAAAAATTCTTCCACCATTGCTCAAATAACACACTGGAGAGCCTACGAAAATAACTACAGCGGTTTTAGTTGTGACGTCATTGACTCACTTTGACAACGTTGGGAAGGCATGCCTTTCCAAGAAATACACAAAAGAAAGCTGGGGAACAATTCTTTCGAATTTTATTCCTTCTTCCCTGCGGAACCAGAAAATCAACTCTCTCTCTGCATACCAAATTAGCCACATTTGTTTAGTCGTTACGTCACTTCCATTCTCAACCCAGTTTCTTCTTCTTGACGTGGAGTTCTGTAGTCCGAAGAATGGCAGCCGTTTAGATCGCGAATCTACAGAGAAAATAATATTACTTCTCGATGGAGTTTTGCCTTAAGATTTGGCAAATTTTTACTTAGGGTAAGTACTTTCAACCTCTGAGAAGTAAAGAAAAGGTGCATTTTTGGTTGCAGTAGCACTTTAAGTTCTGTTTCATTTAACCTTGCATGTTAGGTTCACACAGAGAAGCATTCCTCAATTTCTGGCAAGGAGCCTTATTATAGACTACTGTAGTTTATATTGAAATAATTTAATACTAACAATAACCCCTTTTGGTTTTGTTCAATACATAGGCTGTTCTGATTGCAAATCCAAATGCACACTTTCAGGTTAGTAGTAACAGATCGTAATATTCAAATGTGCACAGATTCATTGCATAATTAACCCATTAATGGCCGCAGCTTTTGTGGAAAACTGTGTTTTGAAGCTAGTCGAGCAGATTTCGGGTCACTGTTATGGTTTTAAAAGCTCGAACTTACCAAAAACGCCTTGACAGCTCGAACACTCGACGGCCTTTCAATCCNCTCTCCTTGCCTGAAGTTTCTCCTCACTTGCTGGAAATTTAGTAGGCTTCATTTTGGTGTAGAGATTTTTCAGAAACTACTCATTATTTTCAAACCACATGCTCAGAAAGGTAGGTGGGTAATGGAACAAGATTTTCGTGCAGATTTTCAGGTCAAAGTTACATGGTTTTTTGGCTATTTCTCCAATCTCCTTCACTCAATTGCGCTCATTCTGGTATCGTTTGTAAGATATTTTCAACCTGTTCAAGTACGTGCTCAAATTCGTGCTCCAGGGTTAAAAGTGATGACGTCACAAGGCGTAGAAAGGGTGTGGGTCCCCATGGGCGCATACGGGTGCACTGGACGTCAATAGGTTAAATAGTATCAAAATGTTATTAGCAATGAGTGGTAAGCAAGAATTGATATACACTTGCAGTGTCTCTTTTAGGCAAAACCTTCCATGTTCATTGGCAGATTTTGCTGGTAGTTGAAGGGCTGTCAGTTTGGATTAGAATGTTTGTGTGATAAAGTGATAAGGACAACATTTTTCAAAATTTTAATATTTGTCAACCATAGGATGTGGTCAAGACAGTTAAGACAAGAATCGAAGGAATCATCCATGCAAACAAGTATGGCTTTTTCACTTTTATTAGTAATGTTGCATTTTGACTCTTTTTCAACTATCAGTGAAACACAATTAATGGTGAGCTTGACTAAAATTTTTCAACTGTGTTAATTAAATGATCATTTTGACCAGGTATGTGATGGTTGAATACAATGTGGAAAGAATAAATCTCCCAAAAGTATTGAAAGTAACACCAGGAAAGGTAAGTTAATCATCAGTTAACTCATCAAAAGGCCTTAAAATGCAGCTATAAGCAGGAGATTAGAGGCATTTTTAATGAAAGCCTTTTATTACACGACTCAGGCAGTCAGAGGGCCAATAACTAAAATCAACCAATCAAAATGCTCTATTGCTGGTGAATATTCTCTCAGTATTGGACCGGGCGGTGTCATTTGGGACCATTCGGGACCCTGTGTCCCTTTGAACTTCAGTCGTATAATAAATCTCTTATTAACCAAGCTTGCTCGGGACCATACTGGAAGAATATCGGCCCTCGGTCCGTACTGTCAAGACCTTGGGCCGATATTCTCCCTGTACGGCCCTCGCACTTGGTTAATAAGATATATGTAGTGTCTCTTCTTCTCCTTATTCTCAGAGGTCTGCCACACTTTCTCCTTTGGACGATGAGAAGTGGGTAGCTGTTCAATCTATGATTCTTCACAATGAGGAAAATCAGATACTAGACAAGTTGAAAGGTTAGTTTTAAAACTCTCAGTAAGGTAAGAACTACACCTGGTCATAGTCACTATCACTGCTGCGTCAGCATTACATGCTATGGCAACTCTCCAAGGATATATGGAGGTCTCTTGCACGCACAGCAGATAATTAATATGCCATTTTTCTAACGTGATTTGCAAATTCTCCCTAAAGACCTGACCTTGAAATTCCATATTTTTAAAACATTCCAACTATTTACTGCTTGCCAAGCTTATTTTTCAGTTTCTGGCTTCCTTTTCATATAAATTGGGCATAATTGCAAACAAAGTGGAAGAGGTGCCATCAAAGGCATTATGAGGGGAGGGGGTTAAGTAGTAGAAATTAGTATTGAGAGATGGCCAATGGCTGAAAGGGAAAAGGAAATATTTCAAAAATCTCTTAGAGGTGTGCAGCTCTAGGGACATCATCATCATCATCTTGTTTGCAACCATATCCATCCCAATCTTAATCATAATGCAATGCACTCTTTAGATTGGTTTACAAGTCTGATGCAAGGATATACTAGGCATGTTAAAAAAAATAGATTGAAAATTTGACATTTGATTACAGTTCTGCTTGTGTCTCTATACCAACTACCCCACAGGATGCATAAAGTGATCAGTTTTCTTTTGTATCAATGTTATTCTAAAAGTGCTAACTTAAATGTTAAATGTGTAAATCCTGTTGCATTAATTGTACAAATCCTTTTAAATATGCAAACAGTTTTGCTTATACTGCACTGTTGGTTGAGTAATTGTACTTACCTGTTTCAGAAATTGGTGCCCATGACATTGTGACCTTTGCCATTCAGAACTGCCGCGTTTGATAACAGGGTTACTTCTAATTTAGAAGTAACCAATTATAACTCTAGGAATTTGATGTTAAGTAGGAACAATTAATAAGGGTTATCACCTGTAAGGTACTTTAAGTGGTATATCTCACATTTGTAAAGCTTAGAATATTTATTGTGTCCAACTTTAGGAAATATTTTTTTAGTACAAATGGTATTCACTTACCAGGTAACTTAAACTTCTTGTTACCAAGTAACAGTTAAATGTGTAGTAGCTAGTAAGAGTAGAGAACAATCAGATCTTGAGATTTAAAGAGGTATATTAATGGTTAACATGTGAGGAGGTGTGTTAGGTGAGATATAAAATTCTTATCTTGTCACTCAGTGATGTAAAATCATTTTTAGTTCTTAAGTAAAACTGCCACATATTTTAATGCTGTGTTTGTAAAATGTCCGGCAAGGATGTTTTTATTTTTCAAAAAATATATTTCAGACAGAAAGTGTCTTTTTCAAAGCTGTTTTTAAAAAAAAATAAGGGGAGGATTTTATCACCTAGGTAGACATATCATTACTGACAGTAACTGTCACTTGATGTAAGAGTGTTACACTTTTGTTTTGGATCACTTTACAGATACAGATAAGAATTGATATTAAATGTTCTAGGCAACAGATCTGAATTTGTGAACTTGTTAATTTTCTCTTGTCTTCTTGACCAATGTGGAGGCGTGGTGGCCTCATGGTTGGTGCGCTGGACTCCGGATCGAGTGGTCAGGGTTCAAGCCCTAGCTGGGACATTGTGTTGAGTTCTTGGGCAAGACACTTTACTCTCACAGTGCCTCTCTTCACCCAGGTGTATAAATGGGTACCGGCAATTTAATGCTGGGGGTAACCCTGCGATGGACTGGCATCCCATCCAGGGGGGAGTAGAAATACTCCAAGTCGCTTCAGGCTACAGAAACCGGAATTAAGCACCGGCCTAATGGGCCACCAGGCTCGTAAACAGACTTTATCTTCTTGACCAATAAACACATCTGATCAGCAATCTTTCAGAAGAACACAGCATAACTTACACCTTTTTGACATGACTGTTACTGTGTTCTTGTGGGCAATAGAGTGGGTGTGAAAGTGCCGCTGACCACCCAGGATAGAAAGGCATACAAACAGGCAGTAAGATACTTGAATGTATATGCTATTTTAAGATAAGCCTATGCAAACACTTGGGAGTGGGCATGGGTGAATTGAGCCAAGTGGGGATAGGGGTGGGTAAATTGTAATTGACTTGTCAAGCACTTCATCCAATACATTTCTACTGCCATGTAATTGACTGACCAGTAAATGTTCTGGTAAGTTGGATTTGTTTGTCTTTGTCTTAATCAAATGGACTTTCTAGAAAAAATTTTGCCAGACATTGTTTTGAGATGTTGGTGATAAGTTGGATGTTGATCAATTAATTTAAACTGTAATGATATTGATTTCCTTACAGTTTGAATGTTGTAATGCCTTTATTTCTACATCCACAGAATCAACAACAGTCAGCACTTCACAAATGTATTATTTAAATGTTTCTCAACAATAATGGAACTTGTAATTTTTATTAAGACTAATTAAGGTACAATTTTTCATGAGGGTTGTAGAATACTTAAAAAGGTTGTTTAGGAAGTAATATTAGATAGTATATATTATGACAAGTGATTAACTTATTTAACAGTGTTCAACAATGTGAATAGAAGTTATATTAATATAAGGATTACGTAGATACCATACCACAATCATTCAGAATCTGCCATACTTCTTATTGCTCTAATGCAAGATCCATTAGTCTTTTTGGGCAAATATTTCTTGAATCTCAAAATTAATTTTAGCAAAAAGCCTACTTCACCACTAATCTAATATTTTTCAATGTACAAACTGTTGTGCATAGAGGTTATCTGAGCAAGTAATAATTTGTTCCTAGGATTTCTTTTCTTTTGTAACTACAGACCTTAAATCATATGGTAAGCTTAACTGAAGGTAATGAAAGTAAAGCAGGAATGCTAAGAAATGTGCACAAGAATACAGAGAGATTAGCACAGGCCAGAGGTCTGGGTACCGCCTGGGGGGCTTGACAACAGCTGATCCAATGTGTAGACCCATGGCTCCAACAATTGACAGAACAAACTGAAAAAAATTGGGTTCAAGAAAATCACTTGGAAAGAAATGGGAGAATTAAAGGTGTGCAGCATTTAAAATGTACAGATGTTGATGTCTCTACAGTTTGAATGCTGTAATGCTTTTATCTCTTTACAACCATGATCATTCATGTATTCTGTGTTGTGTGGTACCTCTGTCATAGTTCACGATGAAAGTCTACAAGACTGCTTCAACTCTTTCATTCCCATAATCCTAATATCGATTCTCAGTTCTTTCAACTATACATTGGTGGAAAATAAAACCTTGTATCCTACATGATTTTTGTTCCTTTCTTTTTAAATCATTGCCTTTCTCCATGGAGAATGTATCAATAGTGGTGAGGGGAGAATTCTCCAAATAAAGTAATGGTAAATTTTAATGGTATGGAATGAACAACTCACCAAACTTTGTTTAAGTGGCTCTGTCTTGTTGAGCTCAAACACATGATAAGCAACAGTGTAGAACAACAACATGCATGAAATGTAGGGTAGAGACAGACCATCCTTCAGTAGTAACGGCCACATGCTGGAAATAAAATTGGTTACTAAATTATTGCTAATAATTACTGTTAGTAATCACTGAGTTGGTTGACTAGCAGCAGATTCAGCTTGTTAGTAAAGGCAATGGAACAAAAACTGCAGGGAAGGGGGAGTAAGTAGCTATCTATGATTAAATAGCACTCTATTAGGGAAGAGGGGGTGGCCCTAAGTCAAGTCTCCCTTGACCAAAACACCCATAGTTAGATGGCTAGAGACAACCTACATTCACGAAGGGGGTGGAGTGGGGTTATTTGTGGGAAGGATTTCATGGTGAAGACAAGCCACTTTTACATTACAATCTACTTAAGGCTGATGTGAGCTGACCACTGACAAAAACTTTTACTGAAAGACATTGATTACAGACTGTAAACCTTCAAATGTTTTATCACCAACCTGAAAGTTGAGATGACGAAGAACCACACACACTCTAAGGGTTTATAGTGAAGCAGAAGACAAACAGGGCTGAAGTAATCAAGAAACAAATATGAATTATTTTTCTTGTAAATTAAAGTCTTACTGTAGTCATTTGACAAATATCAGTTGCAAACAGAACCAATTCACGGATGGAAGGGATTTCATAGCTTAGCATGGAAATACATAATCAGAAGAAAATTCCCCTTGCAAGTTTAATTGACACAAAGAACAATACTTACAGGGCTGCTAACAAAATTGACTTTTCATGCACTTGATAGGAAAAAAGGAAAAATGCCAAAGAAGAATTTACCTGGAATTTACGAAACAGACAAAACGTCAGATAGACAAACATTATACAACTACATGTAGTTTAACCCAAGAGTCACCATCTACAGTTACTGTATTCTTCAGGCAGAAAGAATGGTACTTAATTTGGACATAAGGTCAATCTTAGATAATCACATTGCCAGGACACTGACATTTACAACAAATTGTACAGCTGCCTTTGGCAATTTAGTTTGTAAAATGCAGAAGAACTAGATCCTTACCAAGGCTAAAACGAAACGGTCTATGGTTGGATTCTTTAGCAAATTCAGTGAGGATGGTAGACAAACTAGGAGTGTTGACCACATGCTGCGAGGGAAGGCAAATAATATGTACAGGAAATTTCAAATAAAAAAAAAAAATTTAAAAGAATTTGTTTAGTGTTAGGTTTAATAGCCTTATGGTTCACACTTTGATGTTCCCTGTGAAAGTATTTTTATCAATTATTTTACAAACTTAATTCCTGGAAATTCTATCATGTATCATTACTTTCTAAATCCCACAGGGATCAATGAACGCTTTTCATACCACTATTTTATTCATGTTTTTCTCGTTGCCATGTTCCCACCAATAACGTAGCTCCATTTTCTGCCTTTAAAAGCACACACAACCCACAATTCCTCTATTTGCTGCGACGAAGGGCTAACGCTCCAAACGTCAGCTTTTGTAATCGTTACGGTGGCCAATTTACCATTTCAACTTTGTTGATATATCCAAATTATTTTGTTACTCCCACCGACCCAGCCCCAAACAGTTTCTTTTGAAACTATCTGCCTTTATTATTTTTATCATTGAGTGAACGATGTGTTCTTACCTGAGTTTTATAATCTGAGTTTGTGAGAGTATTCTTTTGACTTTAATTAAAACTGAAATCGAGCACCAAATGTTGGCTACCTTGTCCTAGTAGGGGAAAGATTAAAATACAACTCACACACTTAAACTGTTTGATTTAATTCTTTCAACATGTACACAGTGCATTACACTGTTACAGATTGTTATTGGATGATATGCAATTTTGATATCTACCTCAAAGATACCTCTTGCAAATGGAAAAAGTCTGTGGAGAACTTGTAAAATTGTCGGTAATCCAGTCAAAAATGGCAACCAACTGAAAATTCACAAACAAGCAGAAACATAATCTTGTTGAATTAATTTGATCGACTTAATGACCTTTCAAAGGTGATCATGATTTGTCACTTACCAAAGAATAAATGTTAAAACCACCACAATCCCTATTTTGGCTAGGTTAAATATTCTTGAGAACCTGTGTATTAAAATGAATAGATCAAATCCTAGTTAACAGCATGATCATTTCATTAAGAGCATCAAAAATTAAATACAAATATACATGTTGCTAACAGTTAAACCTAAAATTAAACCTATTAAGTATTTTCTGTCAGATGTAAAATGTTTAGAATTTGTTCCTTGAAATGTTTGTTTCATCGATGTGCCCTTGAAACAACTTCAACCAAACATAATCTATCACTTGTTATCAGTTTACACTGGATTTACCTCAAGTTTTGTTACTTAAATTGTGTGATTGAAAGAGATATTTACCAAGAATTTTGTTTCCAGGATTTCCCTAATAAATAGAAAAAGAAAGGGAAAGCATGGTAGAGTTCCATCTGTTTGTAGTTTAAGGCCAGGGTAAAAGCAATTGAGCCCAGCAGATTATGATCACAAGCCAGTCCTATAACTCCCCACAGTGCTAAACCAAGGCTGACTGTATTATATCTCAATCAGTCAGTTAAGGAAAACCAGTTGCATTAAAGTAACACAATCCGGTGCTGTAAAGTAACATTACTTGTCATGCAATAATTAGTAAATAAACCCCTTCAGGCGGCTGGTATGTCAGCTGACAATGTTCACGGCTGAGAGATTGTCCAAAAAATGAATATTTGGCGAGAAGCGAAGCTTCAAGGGCAAATATGAAATTTTGAGGACAATATCTCAGCCAAGGACATTATCAGCCAACATACCAGCAAGCCAGAATGGGGTTTATTTATTTTATAACCCTCCCATTAATTTTCACATTGCAATTAAACTGCGCATAAACACAGTATAAAAGCCAGTGGTGATCTGATGGCGAATGCGCGTGATTGACGCAAGCAAGCAAAAAAAAAAAAACCAGTTTGGTTTCCTTCCATGTAAATAGGAGAATGGAAAAGTTGAAACTCGTGTTGACTATGTTTATTTTTAACAGAAAAAATCAGAGGACAAATATCGACGCAGACTGGGGTTATTGCATGATAACTGTCCTGTGATTTTGCACCACGTGACATAAAGTAACCAATAAAATTGCACCAAAATTAATAGGTGGGTTGTAACTGCTGATATCCCCTGATTCTAACTAAAACAGAAGTTGCATTAACTCTGATTATGCACTGTGCAGTAACCTTTTTTTACACAATTTGGCTAAACATTGTTGCTTTAGCCAGGCACTTCCTTAATTAGTTAAATGGAAGGGAAGACATAAAGTACCCTAAAGGAAAAAAGACAATTTTGAAAACTGATGCACTGTTTTGTTTCAAATTAAATATCTTCCATCAGGTTAAATTTTGAAAAACAATTTCGGATACTGGAAGTGACCGTGGTCAATAAGAATAAGTCCTGGGTAGAATAACATGGTAGCTGCAATAAGAACCTGAAAATTAATGGAAAAAAATAATAATTTGTTACAAACAGTCCATATCATTATGATCAAAAATTAAAAATTAATTATTAGATGATATGTAGCCTTGGACAAAAGTGAATTGACAGGAAGCTTTTGAAAAAATACACTTAAAGGGGGCTGGGAACCCACAGAGGTATTTGAAGGGATCCATAGACCCTTTACTTCATCTGTATTAACCTTTATTTGCACAAGTTCACACTCACAATGTAATGTTACTGTTATAAAGCCTGCACCCTGCTTACCTTGGATAACAAAGACTGTCATTACTATTATTATTATTATTATTATTATTATTATTATTATTATTATTTTGGATCGCAAAGACTGTCATTACCTTGTCGATGACTGGTTTCCTTCTCAGGCAAACAAACACAAATACAAAGACTGCAGGAATATACACCAATATATCTGCTATAACAACTGAAAAAATCAAAACAGTACATTTTGCAATAAGACATTCTAGAATTAAATTTCCTACTCAGAAGCTAGACTTATTCATAATACTCAAATTATGAGACTCAGTATTATTGCATGAATCAGTTCACCTGTATGCCTCATAAACAGTTTATGCTCATGACTTTCATGTCCTCTGGATTTGTTGAGTGCGACCCAGTTTGGATTTATTTTGTTGGCTCTGTCATAGAAAGAAAACATCATAGTGACCATGTTTAAAATTGGGGGCTAGTGAGTGAAAACTTCTTATGACCTCTACAATAATTACATTCTGGAACCAACAGAATCATTCTCTTTAAAGTAAAGTTATTTATTACACGACTCAGGCAGTCAGAGGGCCAATAACTAAAATCAACCAATCAAAATGCTCTATTGCCGGTCAATATTCTCTCAGTATTGGACCGGGCACTGTCCCAAATGGTCCCGAATGACACTGCTCTTGTGTCCCTTTGAACTTCAGTCGTATAATAAATCTCTTATTAACCAAGCTTGCTCGGGACCGTACTGGAAGAATATCAGCCCTTGGTCTTTTTTGTATGGACCGAGCTACGCTCGGTCCGTACTCTCAAGACCTCAGTCTGATATTCTCCCAGTACGGCCCTCACGCTTGGTTAATAAGATATATATATTATTATCAGTTGAACACCACATTCTGAGGGATAACTCTGTCAATCCAGGAGGTGATCAAAAATGAAACTCTCCCCTCAATATCAATACACTTTCAAGCAGAAAGGTGATGAGAAGTGAAAACAACATATTAAACAATGGTTATTGTTTTAATTAACTCCAAACGTTCTGATCTAAAATCATAAAAAGAAAATTTCAAGCAGAAAGAGTGGTGAATTTAAATTTAAATCTTGGGAGTGAGTGGGTCATTTCTGTCTGATACAGATATTTGAAAATTATTTATTATCAGACAAAGTACTCACAGGAAGCCACAGACCCAGCTATGGTATGCAGTAAGTGGAGGATAATCCAAGCCCCAATACATTAAGTCATTATTGGCTGTGTTTGTATACCTTCCAAAAGATATGGAAATTATTTTAATGTTAGGTTGCACTCACTGACATCTCATCAAATCTCTGATTCCCTGTGCTGATCAGTACAATGAGGAAAAAATTCTCTTTATAATCTGATCCACTCAAAGGGAGGCATGTAATGAAATTTAGGAAAACTATCCCCTCATCCTGACATTTAAGTCTCAAAAATAGCCATCACCAAAGCTAAGGTCGTCAGATAGGGGAATCACCTATCAGTTCTTTGCAGTATGGCTAAGCTGCTTTCTAAGTTTCACGAATACGTGTTTGAAGGTCTTGACACCTTGTGGTCCTTTATAATCGAATTGTCTTTTTCACGTGGAAAATACATTATTAGAGACCATCTTCTTCAGCTTTTCTCTATTAGAACTTGGACGTTTCGAGCGTTGGAGGTCATCAATCCTGAACTTCTTTATAGTTACACAATTTAACTCTTTCTGTCAAAGCCAAACACAAAGATCCAGAATATTTTTCGTTGCAGCAGCCCTTCTCAAGACCATTCTCACACGGATGATCAGGATACTCGATGAAATGTAATTTTCTCAGACATGACTCGTCGAACAGCTGATCAGAATAAATAATATTTACTCTCACCAATAGCTACATGTACATGCAACCGATATAATTAAAACACAACTTGATAACACAGGATTACCACTCATCAAACGGAAGATTGTATGTTATTTCCATCCAGTGTCGCTGTGCTTCATAATCTCCAAACATCGGGGGTTTTCCCTTTCCTGGGCCGGGAAACAAATTTAGCAGAAGTGAGCGCGCGTGTAAATTTCAAAACAGAATCTCTAAGAGATCGTACCGGAGAACTTCACTATCAAGTTACCTGAATAGGAGCTTAGAGACACACACCATCGTACCAGAATATTGGCTAGAAGACAAAGCACCACTGCATAAAACGTTGAAGCCATTTTTATAGTTATCAATTCCACAAAGGTTCATAGGTTATCCGCCATTTTTGAAATGGCTAAACACGAAAGGAATCATGGGTTAATAATTTCCTACCCAGACTCTCAGACAGGATAAGATGGTCAAGGAAATCTCATCCCCAGGGCTTTCTCGGTTAGTTTTTTTCAAATATGACAAACGCCAGGAAACGCGGAAATTTTCTCCCGACAATCTGCTATTGTGAAAACCGACCGCGAATGCCAGCCTTCGTCAGAGCGAGGGCTATCACTCGAAACTTGAAGGCATAGGATCCTCTCTATAATGGCCAATGCACATAATTTATCAACTCAGTTGGTACAACCAAATTATCTTGTGATACTCCCACCGACACAGCACCACAGTTTCTTTAGAAACTTACTACCGAAACAGGTAGACTGTTTTTCCGGAGACGAGCGGAACAGTTTCTGTTAACGACAAAGGTGATCTTTTTGGTCACGGGACTGAAAAGATGTCGGCACAAAAAGCATACGCACGTGATAACATTCCTCAGCTCCGTATTTCTTTGCCCGCGTTTTTGCTGTCTGTCGTCGTTTATCCGCTTTCGTTTAGTAAGTATGGTTTAGTAATACAATATGATCCAGCTTAAAGTGTTCTATAATATTCCTTTTCAGCTAAAATCGAATCGATTATCACTCATCTTAGGCTATCGTCTACGCTTTTACCACGGATATAAGGCCTTCCTTGTTTGTTTATGGAAAAGCCCGCCATCGTTTGATTTTCAGCAATGTGAAGGAATGCGATCAGGTGCGCATACGTTTGAGGCGTCAGGTGATTACGTGGGCTTAATTCAAATATGTTTCTCTCCAGCTGAAAGTGTTTCGCGCGTCTCCGAAAAAACAGTTTTCCTGTTTCGTTAGTACTCCTTTATTCATTTCCGCGTTACCTGTAAACCTCAGTCTGTTCAGAGCTCTGTTTACTTCCTCTGTTGATTCTGTTATTTACAGTCTGATTGCTTTTTTGATTCACTTCTTGGTGGCACTACCATCCCCTGGTCCCGCTCAGTTTGTACAAAACTGAACATTCCCCATGATAGGAGACGAGCAATGAGCGTTATCTTCACTCAGTTGCTTTGCTCCTGAGGTCCCTGGGCGTTGATTGGCACAAATACGTTAGGTAGTCAGAGTTATTAGCAGATGCGCAGAGCACTAAGATCCGGTAAAAATCCATGTAAAAAAGCTGGAATCCCTCACAAACAGAGCGCTGTTACCGCCTGTGACTCCGTCGCTTGGGATCTGTAAAAGCTAAATTTTCAGAGTGCCAACCTATCGAATGATCAGAGAACTTGCAGTATGAATGGTTCGTTCTTTTGCTTCTGTTTGTGACTCCCACATTCTAGTTTTCAGCGGTCATATGCGTCAGGAAAAAATTAAACAGTAATGATTCTTCAAATCCTGATTCCGTCGAGCTTATGTCTCTGCTTACTGACGACTCCGATTTTCGATTTTCCAGCTTGGAAGCGTGTTTACAACGCCGAAGCCAGTGAAAGCTAACCCTTAGTAGGAGATAATTTGGATATATCAACAAAGTTGAAATGGTAAATTGGCTACCGTAACGATTACAAAAGCTGACGTTTCGAGCGTTAGCCCTTCGTCGGCTTACGGTGGCCAATTTACCATTTCAACTTTGTTGATATATCCAAATTATTTCGTTACCCCCACCGACGCAGCCCCAAACAGTTTCTTTCGAAACTATCAGCCTTTATTCCTTAGTAGGAGACCCTGTTCGTTCGGTTTGATGCTTGTGTAATAATTAGTTGCTTTTGTTCAAGGGCTCCGCTTTCAATGATCACGTTAACCTTATATTAGTTGCTTGGTTATCAAATAGATCCATCAATGAAACATTGCACTAATGTGAGTGCGCAGAAACTGGAGAAATGGCGAATCTCAGAGCCCGAGACCACTTCCCCAGATAGATAGGCTACAAAAAAAAAAGGACAACCATCGAGTCCACAATAATTTTGATATATCTAACTAAACAATTTACTCGCAAAGGACAGCGAATTGTTTTACACATTTCAAGTTTGATCTTAAATTGAGAATTTCGTATAGTAAAAAATACTCTAAAATCTAAAATATATAATGACTTCTTGACTTTCAGGTCTCGTATTTTCCAAAATTTTTTCTCACTCAGGCTTTGACTTAGCACCGAAATAGCTTTGATTTTTAAGAACCCAATGTTTCCATTTCGTCAGCGATGGGATCAAGGCTGAGTAAATTCAACAGACCCTCACACTCTTCCTCGATTATTCGCACTCGCTTGATGGGTGATTCCTTGCGCCATTTCAAATCATTTTTACTCGAATCCCTAACATGAGAATAAGGGTTATGCAATGCCTCCTTTAATTCCTCTTGGTCAGGATTCGTACTCTTGATAATCCAATCAATCAAGCTGTCTGGCATATCAAAGCCAGCAAATGTATACATTTTCTTAGCTGTGGTAACAGGCATTGTGGTAATTTCTCGGTAGGTTACTTCCATGTACCTGTCCTTCCATTCAGATTTTGATTCTCTGCCGAACTGAATATTTGCTTCGATTTTATGGCACATCTTTCGCACTAGGAAATGAAATCCGACGTAAGTGAAATCTGAGATCCACCCGTTCTTTATTCTTGAATTAAGGCTTCCTCTCGGATCGCGCACGATTTGAATGACACGTATGTCAGTGTCAGGATTCGCGTGGAACACACGCGGGATAATCGTCGAAATACTCTCGCGCGGAACGCGAACTTGTCCAACCTTTACCACGCTGTAATTAAATTTTTTGAGGCAAACGTTTTCCGCAAATTCCGGATAACGGTAAAGATTAGGCCAGAACAACTTTCCAGTTTTTGTCTTGCGTTTAAATGGAGAAGTTCTGAAGATGTTTTTCTCAAAAACCCCTGTGCCCACCCAAGACGATGATGTATGAAACAAAAATTCTTTTCCCGCTCTCGAAAAAGTGAAATGACAAGATAGCAAAGCATTGATCACATCCAACGTAACATTAACATGCATTCTACTTCCTGTAATAGATCCTGAAAACCATTTCTTTGTAACCCACAAAGGTTCATACACTGTAAACATTTGACGATCAGTGGCAAACATCTTAGTCACGAATGTTGTCCCAGAGCGATCGTCACCGAAGATAAGGAGACTCCTTCGCTTTTTCACCGAAACCGTTTTCGGAAGCTGGTCGGAAGTCCATTTCGTCTCCCCATCTTTTAGTCGCGATTTATGACTGTGACGATTTGTTGCCACTTTACTTGAATTCTGTCTATGATGGGAACTTTGTCGATTCGAAGTTGTATTCTGAAGTCGACTAGAATTTTGCACAATTCTAAGCGTTGATTTATCTTGATGATTTGAAACTGGGATTTTACTTGAAAACAGTGATGTGGAACTGGAACTTTTTACTAACGTTTGTTGCATGTCCAAAGAAGTAACTTTGGTGATATTCCCCTTTTCGCTCTTATTATGTCTGTGAAGAATAGAAGGAGTTCCACGGCTCAATTTTTCTGATACATTAGTACTGAGATCATTTCTAGTTGCGAGTTTTTCAGTTTGACTTGAAGTTTCAACTTTGTATGTTTTTTCTTGCTGATGGTTTGACTGAGAAGCAGACATATTAAATATTTCTTCCTTTGTGTTCTTATCCATCGTGTAGTGTTTTGATGATTTTACAGACTTGAATTGTCGCTCCAGTTTCCTTCTTAGTCCGATTTGAGAGTGTAATAGGCGATACCGAAGGCGTTCTATTCCCAGGTTTGGGGAGCGGTCGTCAAATCTTCGAGAAGATTTCGTTGTTTCCGAGTATTGTTCGAGATCTGATTTGGACTCGACTGGACTCCTATGTTTATTTCTTGAGAATTTTCCTGAATCAATTGTGGTCATATTTCTTTCCTGAATTGAAGATACATTCCGCGGAGAATCCATGTTTTCTTGCTGTTTCAAGTAAGTGACTGTGTTAAAATCGTTTGATTTTGGTCCCTTACTGAACTTGGAGCCTGGAACATCAGTTGAAGATGCATTTTGTGGAGCATCGTCAACCTCTACGTCAATTAGATCTTTGAAAGCATCGTCATTTTTTACGAAGTCAAGAACTTCCTCTGATCTCTTACCTACATCTTCAGGTTGGTCGTAGGTGTCATCCCATCGCGATTCTGGTTCATGGATTATTGGTGTGGACAGATCTCCGTTGTTAAATGGATTTTCTACCTGATGCACCATAACAAATAGATAGACGCCAAAACAAACGATGACAATCAAGGCAATCTTGATTAAGTTCAGCTGGCTCTGTAGTCCCCTGCGAGTGCCCTTTTCTTTGGCAGCCATTTTTTATATCCCCTGGGTCGGGTAAAGATATGATCCGCGGCTCAAGGACACACTCTGCGCGTTCTCTGCAGTAACTGAAGCTTAAAGGAAAACAAGATACTGAGAGACGATATATTTCTATCATAACCCTTCTGATAAATAGACCGACACGTGTTTTATTCGAGAGCGGTCTGTAGTGGGCCTTTTTCTGGGCTGACTATCTAAGGAAAAACGGCAGGAATTACGCTTTTGCTGTAACTAAAACAGAAACATTTTCCGCACCAGTGTGCTGTCTTCAACACCAAAGTTTGTGTTTAAATTTTCCGGAGAAAATTGCGTGAAAATGACCAAAGTTTTTGCGTAAACACCGCCAATCTTATTTAAAATTTTAGATAACGGTTGATTTGACAGATAGATATAGCCGCCCATGGTCGCTTCCCGTTTTAAAATTCATATATTGAGGATAAAAGAAGAAAAAGGGTCGGCCATAAATACTCTAAACAGCGCGACTCGTATCTCATCCAAGCGACACTTTTCTAAAAACAGATAGACAAACAAACAATTAATCTTTCCTTAAAACTCCTATAAAATCCATTAGAACATCAATAAAATTGTTTTGCACGCCGTTGACAAATGCTTAATCTTAGATGCCTGTGGCTAAGACAGCACACTCGCGTCTGTTTTCCATTGTCATCGAATATAATCCTTTAACCACATTAGCGCTGGACCAATGCGACGAGAGCGAGCCCTTTAGCTGCGTGATTGGGGGAAATCAATCGGAAATCAAAAAGTAGAGAATTCTGTTATTGAAGCAGTGTGATCGTGTCTCTACAAATAGAAAATAGCCTGTCTTAAACGGGATTGCGCCTTACAGAATTGTAAGTATATCTAAAATATATAGAGGAAGTTTTTAATCGAGTATCTGTTCCTAAAGAATTGTGGTTTTGAAAGAATGGTGCTTAGTCGGCTCACGTGTATTCGTTTGCTTTTAGTTGACTAGTTAGCTTGCGTGGAATTACGCATGAGAACAAGTTCAAAACAACTGGTAGATCCCGTGGATGCTATTTTTCTCGGTATATCTATAGTAGCACGCTAACCCGCGGTGCGAAACAAAAATAAATGTTCAAAGTATAGTTTGCTGGATAGAAAGAGCAGTGTTTAGCATTTCATTTGACTAAAGAGTTTCCTGGAAATTTTTCACCAACCTGTTTTATTGCGGTTTGTTGGTACCATAAATCTCCTTTGAAAAGCTTATCTCCTTGCAATGTCCAAATCAGTTTTTTTGACCGCCAGACTCTCCTCGGGGAGTACAGAAGAGATAGCCTTTGAGATAACGAATTTACATTTACTTTATTCGAAGAAGCTGTAGATAATCCCAGTTTATACAAGATTTTATCACCTTTCTTGTTGTAAAAAAAGGAAAAAACCGGGTAATTTTTTCAGCTGAAGTTTGTTTATTTGAATTCTCTCTCACTGGGTTCCTTGAGGCCCTAGGTAATAGTCGTCATTATACAGCTCAACCATGCTGTTTGTTTTTAATCGTTACTTTAAAAATTTAAAAATTCTCACGCCACATTCGTATCAAATAAACCCTTTCTATAAACCAAATAAGGGGAGACTCAGGTTTTCTGCCCTTTGTTTCACGTTTGTAACAAAGGAATGAATTAAGGGAAAAACATTCTTTATAGGATGGACTATGTTATCTGTGATTCCCTTTGTTGACGTAGTGTTAAATTTGTATGTTTTAATTTTATGACTGAAGTAGTGTATTTATTGTTGAAAAACAAGTCACGGAAAGGACAAAGTAGTCCTGTATTGTAGATATTGTTAAAAAAAATATCTTAGAGAGACTAGAATGTGCTTCAAATAATGAACACCAAATCATGCATTAGTGTTGTAAAAAGAAAAATTAAACCCTTATATTAAATAGGGAAAAACGAAAGAGGTGTCTCTATAAACAACAAATGTTTGACTTGTACTACTAATCGGCACCTGGCGTATCCTACCTTTTTGCTTTGTTTACGTTAACGTCTAGAGTATTATTATTTTTTTTTCTTTTAATGTTCGTATTCTTGTATGTATCAATGAAGCACAAGACCGAAGCGTTGATCAAATACCGTCTAAAGTTTTCCACGATCTTTGCTGGAAACAACACTCTTTACTAAACATATCAAATAGACGGCTTTCTACGGAGCAAAATTAACGAAAGAATAAGACCAAAGCGCTGATCAATATTTACCAAAGTTTTAACAATCTTTGTTTGTAAATACGCTCTAAAATAAGCATGTCGAATAAAGCTTTCTTCGTTGAAAAGTCAAAGTTTACCCCACGTACCAAGTGATCGAAATTCATCAGTGAAACAATAGACAGATTAGTATGATCAAGAAAATGATCAGGATATTATTATTATTATTCAAAATCGAGGATATATAAGCATGCTGTGATTCAGTTGAAATACATGAATGGAAACCCGAAATTCGTAGAATGAAGTAAAACTGAACTGAACCCACCTTTGAATGGCCCGTTCTGGTTTAATCCATCTATCTTTCTGAATCGCCGAACTGACGATGGAAGCCTGATTACCATCTCAAACACGCTGAAATTCGATCCGCCATTCCTTTTTCAAGATAGAATTATGGCTGCATAATTTTTCTCTGTAAATGCCTGAATACGAGTGAATAACTGTTGAAGAGTTCGAGATGAAGGGGGAATGCTTTCCTACCTTTTGTTCCAGTAAAATTTAAATGCGGCAGCTAAATTAAAATTCCCCACAATCCCAGAATAAGAAAGTTCGCTTAGTTCAGCTGCAGGTTTTGTATTCTTCGGCTCACAGATAAACAAATAAAAACATCAATGAAGAAGGACGATTCTATTTAAATTTGCCTCCCCTGGTTACAAATGGTTTCATGCAAACTGGTTACTATATTTTTAACAGCTTGGAAAAAAAGATAAATGTTATTTACATACTGGACTTGTAATCTATCATTTATGAAAAGGGAGCAAGTAGTTTGATATTTTTTTTTGACAGTGAAGTCTTCTACATCGCTCCGCGCGGAGAGACTTTTAATTTTAGAATGTATTTTAAAGATTGTTTGGAAAATTAGCAGCCAAAGAGGCAGGGGTATTGGATGACAGAATGCAGGCTCCGAAAGGGGCGTTCAGTTATAAAGTTCTAAATGAAACAAATATCTTATTGCCAAATGGGAAGATGTAGATGGTGTAATGGTTTGTTGAGACAACGACGAAAGAAATGATAATTTCTCCTAAATAAGATCTCCCCTTCAAATGCGATCGCTTAATAATTGAAATATGAAATTATATTAAAAGAAATTTACATTTTCGCGAAGGCACTCGACTCGTGATTACAATCGACACGGTGAATAGTAGGTGCTGTCAATCAAAATGCGTCAAAACACAACTGAATATCTGATAAGACTGTAAAACTTGATAATGCTTCTTTCACTGCTATTTTTCTTCTTTTGTCTTGTGTTTTTTTCTCTATAATACATAACTGTTGCAGCTTTGGTTTGTAGAACTGAGTATTTAAAAAAAATTGTTTGCCCAATTTAAAAATTACAATTTTCTTTGTTGCGTACCTTTATATTGAAGCTTAGTTGGGTTTTAGTTTCTTCCGGCTTTTACCACCAGCAAGAAGAGTGTTTCGGGCTCTGATCCATGTCTTCGGGAAAATTGCATATTAAGTGTGTCGGTAGCATATTTTGGGGGAACAGTCGCAATTTACGCAATCTTTTTGCTCAAGTTTCATTTCAAAGCATTTTTAAGTATTTATAAATGGTGAAATCTTTTGATAGAAATTCTGCGCCATAAAATTTTTACATATCATTTTTATCGTTATTATAATTATAATCATCATTTAAAAAAAAAAATATATGGATCACCACAAACGTTTGACCGCACGAGTTTCACCCAGCCTCGGAGAAACTGTTACATACATTTCACGCGTTACATACAGTATAGGTAACGCCATCATATTCAAGACACCCACAACAAGGCATATACGTTATTCTTTTATTAACGATCTAGCCACCCTTAGCACATTAGACTACCATGGCTGAGCTAATTACTGTAATGGTACTTGGTTTACCACTGGTTTTATTAAGTACTTTTTGCTTTTATTAATTACTTATTACTTTCTGCTGGATGTATTTCCCTCACAATTGTTATAACCTAACTATACTTGAATTAATAATTCCCCGATATATTTTCAACAAATTAATAAAATAAAGAGATATGATCTAGAATCAAAGAAAAACAATTTACTGATGTTCCCAAAGTCTTTATAACTAACATTTGAGGGAAGTGTTTCACTCGAGGAATATTTTTACTTCTAAAAAGTTTGTGACTGATTTTAGTATTCTTAAAAGTCATTCTCATTTTCAAAATAATTTGAGATTTTCATACAAGGATCCACTTTTCCCAATTAATTTCATGAATAACAAAACTTAACACTTTCACTCCCAAGAACTCACAATCGTCATAAGTGGATTGAGTTTGTTGGTTCTCTACTCTGCTCCAAGAGGTTTTTCTCCAGGTACTCTGGTTTTCCCCTCTCCTCAAAAACCATCATCATTTGAATTTATTTATAGTTTAAACATTATCATGTCTAAATAAAGGTATTATTATTATTATTATTATTGTTATTATTATTATCATTATTATTATTATTATTATCATTACACCATTGTTATTATGTTAGTTCAGAGAAGTTGCTATTGGATATTCAACTTATAGTCCCCAACTTGATATCTTTCTTTACTCTCAACACTTGTCTACTTGATACTGTATTGATTAGGTATGGAGAAATTCTGTCTTGGTCACTCATGGGAGTTAAAGGATTGAGCCCACAAATAATAACCTGAATTACACAACTCTTTCCCATTTGATCAGTTTTCTTTTGTGAGAGCATAGAACTTGCAATTTGCTAATCAGCGATTTTTGTTTTTTTGACACATGCTTTGGACATTGGAAAAAATTTGTAATTTTTCATTTGCAAAGATTTGGACCTGAAAATCTAAACAAGATAATCTATAAAAAATTACTAAACAGCAGAATATGACCACTGTTAGTGAGTTAAATCCATATCCAACTAGGAAACCTTCACCAACCATTAATAATTGAAGGCTTCATACACAAAGAATGATATCTGAAAATTATTTGCCAAAAGATAGGTGAGTATTTAACAATACTCACTGAACCCGAGAAAAATACCTAATAAACAACTTGTGAACAATTATATAAAATAAACAGTTGAGGAATTTGTCTCACATTCCAACAGTTTCTTATTGTTTGAAGAAATTTTTAGCAAGATAATCTTTGACTTTAGGCCATATTACATTTGTTTCCGTCCCAGAAAATGACTTAAGTGTTCCCTGTTTCCTGTAAACAAAACAAAAGAAAATGACTTCAAGTGTTCCTTGTTTCCTGAAAACAAAACACCATGATATGAAAACATCATAAAAAATGGAGTATCTATGAAGAGGAAATCACACAAAATGGTGCAAGATACTGTACTTGTTTGAACTTACGTATAAAAATCAATAAGTGGCTTTGTCATTTCCTCATACTGTTTTAATCTCTGTCGCACAGTCTCAGGCTACAGAAAAAGTGTCAGTATCAATACATGTTTGAATACTTTCATTAAGCTAATGCTTTTTTTTTTCAGCCCTTTCTTTTTCTATCACATGCAGTTGTTCTTGTTGTTAACTTAAGAACACTTGCTGATTAAGTAAAGGGCTTTTGATTTCAAAAAAGATGTCAACAATTTCACAGTAAATCAAATGACTAACCTTATCATCATCCCTTTGAACAAGATCCTCACCTGTGTCATCATCTTTTCCCTAAATGGAAATGAAATTGCTTTGTTTAAAACAACACACCTAATAAGTTCATAACCCCATAATCACTGCCTTGATTTTTTTTCAGTGAAGCTACCTTACTGTTTTGATACTATTCCTACTTGCAAACATCATCTTGAGAAGGCTGGAAAGGAGACCACTTGCTGTCTAAGTCTTGCATTTACCTTCTTGCCACCTTACAATTATTATTCCTAGGGAACACATAGGAACCTTCAGCCACCCCTGCTCCTCTCCATATCTACAGCTAAAATGGTTGAGGCCAACTTTGAACAACTTGTCTATCTCCTTGTTACAACTAAGAGCTGAGAGATTGAAGACAATGATTCTAAGATAAACACCAGCTCCTGTGGTAAACTGCTCTCCATTTCTTAATTAACTCACGTAATTATAAAGATGATGAAAAAGACCAATACCACTGTATTCTCATTAAATCAAAGTGTCACTTGATGTCATCCAAATGTCTTAAATAATAGAAACATTTTATGATTAAAACCCTTTCTAGGCTTAAACACTCAAATGGTAATATTCATAAAAGTTGCAGATCATTGCAAATTGAAAAATTTAACTGCACTTACTGGAACTTTAGGAGGGTTGAAATCCAAGTTGTATGTCTTCCCACTACCTGGATGTATCCAACGTTTCTAAGAAATAAAAATGTATCTCACTGTTCAGAGTAATCTGCAGAGTAACCACGAGCTATCATAACAAACTTCTTTGAACAACTGATTAGATTATTCTTGTTTGTGGGTCATGAGGGACCAACTGATGTCAACAAGGTACAAATTGATGTTTCAGGAATGGAAAAAAGAACTTACTGAAATTCTATCAATTATGGTGTCAAATGGAACATCTAAGTTTATTACAACATCAAGCTCCTGTTTATCGCCCAGCTTCCCTGCCTGCACAACAGTTCTTGGAAAACCTAAAAACAAATGTTTAAGTCAAAGAGATATTAAATACACATAAGGATCATGCCCAAGGGACTCCACCCTATGTGCCTGAGTCTTCTGTCCCCTGCCCCTACCCTCTTAGCCTCTTTTCTAAGACAGAAAACAGTCTCAAATTATGTAGAATTCACAGGTAAGCGACGAGCAATATAGAAATCACCGATGTGGTAAGACTTGTCACCCTAAGTGACACTGTTTTCATTTTTAGCAAGAAAAGTAAAAGTCCAGTTACAGGAAACCAATAAATAAAAGGGCCTTTCCCATAACAATACATATTAAGGAAAGAGTGATCCTTGCATTGAGTGGAAATAGTTTTTCTTCCCAACAGAAACGACCCTCTCCTTGCATTCCTCAAAAAATGGACGTTTTTAGAAGAGATACCTCGCTTATCAGTATCTGTTTACCACTCCAAATTTCGTACAGATCAAAGAGAGCTTTGGATAGCGTATAATGTCGATTAGCTTATGACTCTCAAAACACATCCAATTAAAATTAATTTCCTATTAAAACTGTAAACGCAATTTCCAGAATATTTGTATCATTTCGAATCACAGATCAGCTGAGATGTTTGAACATTGTACATATCCTAAGATTGTAAAATCCTAAAAGCTACCTCAGTTGATATGTAAATACCATCTAAAAGCCAGCTCTCTCCAGATAACTCCTTCATCTTGGCCATTATCAGTTCTATCATGACTTCGTCAGGTACAAGCCCTCCCTTTTCCACGATCGCTTTTGCTTTCAAGCCAACTTCTGTACCTTCTTTGATTTGGGATCGGAGCACATCTCCACTCGATAAGTGTGTTACCTTAAAAGTGCTAACAATGCGTTCAGAGACAGTTCCTTTACCCGATCCTGGAGGACCCATGATAAGAGCACGCACTGGCTTCGACGACATATTAGACAGGTGAATTTGGCGGATCTGACTGGTAGGTGTGAACGCCGCACGAAGTAGCCGAAGGCGACGGACAGAGTGCATAGCTTAGCTTTGCAAGTAGTATATAGGACTAAACGAAAAAAAAGTAATAGACTGGGAACTAAAAACATTTCGCTGACCAAATCTCAGCTGGCTCATAAATTTGCACGTGTGTGTGTGAGTTTTAAAATGGCGGACGCCGAACACAAGAAGAGGTATTGTGTCCAATTTTTTTCTCCTTGAAAACTCAGATTACAGGCGTTGTTCCGTTCTCTAGATGGTACCTATAGATAAAAAATATCACGAGAGTTAAGAAGCTGTCATTTTTGTTTAATCCATGGGGACACTCTGTATTGAGGACTTTTTTTCCTCAGCTGTTTCAAATGAACGCTGTGCAAAAAATTGTGCAAGTAGACAAGTGAACAATTTTATTCTGTCGTAATATACTTACGTTCTTTGCTTTTATTTCATCCAGTGGGTCAAGGAGCTTTAAGAAGAAATTCAAAGGGAAGGGTGATGATACAAAACGGAAATTTAAACCGAAAAAGTTTTCCAAGGATTTTAGGGGAGAGAATTCTCCTGGACAAAAACGTAAAGCTAGCGACACGAATGTAGACGATTACAGGAAAAAAACGTTCAAGGCCAAGAAGTGGAAAGGTGGAATAGAAATTCAAGTTGGGAAAAAAGGATATAGACGACATGACAACAACGATAAACATTTGTCAGTTAACGGTAAAGGATCACGGAATAGTTACATGAAAGAAAACTTTGTTGGTGATAAAGCCATGAAACGAAAGTTTAGTGATGGTAAGGGAACTGACTTTGGGAAAAGGAAGAAATTTTCCAGCTCATGGGAAGATAACAAAGGTGAGAGTTTAGTTTTGTTGTATATCTTGTCATCACCCTCTGTATTCTGTAAATGAACCCTTTAACTCCCAAAGAGTGACTGGCATCTAATTTCTCCATACAATATCACCTCTGGATCAAACATCAAGGTCACGAGAAAGAAGGAAATGATCACCAACTAACCAAGCTCTTGATTGTAATACAAATTCTCCGTGTTAGTATCCTAGGAAGTGTTGATAGAATGGTATGGAGAATATACATACTGATGTTAGGTTGTCAAGGGTTCATAGTAACAGAGCTTTATAATGTAGTGCTGTAAAGTAGGCTGTCTGTGTGGCTTGATTTCTTTTCTAAGGAAATGTTAGCATGAGAACATTTAGATGAGAGTTGGCTCCTCTTTTGGTGCAGTTTTTTTTTTTCCTGTTTCTTTCAAGTACAAGTGTAATAGATAGATAGATAGATAGATAGATAGATAGATAGATAGAAACTTTATTAAGGTGTCAAAGAACCTTCTAGTTTGGGAGATATCCCATACTAATGCGAGGACACAAATAAAATGGATAAAAATTATTTACAAAGAATATTACCTACTTAAGAATAAAATTAAGTCATATCATGTATGAAAAAATATGAAATGAATTAAGAAGTACATAGAGCACAGCCCCTGCAGCCGCCATCTAATAGGGAGCTGAGGTCACGCTTACATATGCGGTTTTTGAAACTAGCTAATGTTGTGGCTGATCTGTCATAAGTTGTCAGTTTTACTCCATAATTTAGGTCCTAAATAGGGCAGTGAATGTTTGCCGTAAGTTATTGTGTTGTATCGAGGAATAGAAAAGTCGGCCTGTCTTAAAAATTATAGGAAGCGTTGTGTTTCTGAAATATATTACAATTATTCAAGGGGCTAAGATTGTGTTTAAACAACTGTGGAAGTTTATTACATGTACTCAGGGGTTTCATTAATGTTTTCAGCAGGAGGGTAACTGGTTTTCACAGGTGGGAAAAACTTTTTGAGCTGAACTTCTTTATAAGATAAATTTTCCTCTAGATTGTCAAACCAGATGGGCAAAACACGACCAATCAATTTGGTCTGGTGCCCAGGCCCTTAATGAAACACCTGTGTACTTGCATTTAATTTACGCAGAATTTTTTCAATAAATCTTAAATTTGGGTGTCTCCACTTCATCTTTTAGAATCTGATGAGAAGCCTAATATCTGGCAAATGAAGAAAAAGGAAAGAAAAGACTTTCGCCGCCAACAAGATGAAAACTATGATCTGGTTCACAGTCTTAAAAAATTGTATGAGACTATTAGGAGGTGTGTTAATTAGAAGCTTATGGGGCTACATATATGATTAAGCCAATTTGTTATTCCGATTAGCAAAAATATTCCATGTTGCCATGTATCTGTTCTGTAATAGATTTTAAAAAGTGACGGGCACAGGCAAGTTTGTTAGTGATGTTCTAACCACACTTTGAAAAGAAACGTCAAGGATCAGTTCAAGAGGCCACCAACTACATCTGTACCAGCTGCAACAAAGATTGCCACTCAAGAATCGGGCTTTTGAGCCACTCAAGAGCCCACCAACACTGATGCTCTGACCATTGCCTCTCCGAGACGAGGATGCCATTCAACCACACTTTGACATCTTCTGTCATCTGTTTTTGTGCAGACCCATGGCAACATTGAATTTGCTTGTTTTAAATGATGACAGAGCAAGCTGTTGTTATTGGTGATGTCATCTATGCTTCTGTCCTCAAGTAGATTATTTGTAGGAACCAATTAAAATGTGTATATAATTCAGCCCATGATAAAATTACTGTTGGTGCATCCTGTGTACTAGTGTACATGTACCAGTTCCAGAATGAATTCAACTTATAAGATAATGTGGATACAAATGTTTTTTGAGGACTCCTCTCAGCTCAACTATTATACTGATCAAAAGAAGAAATTGATGCTGCTGGAATTGATATTTTTTCATTTATTTATTTTTCAGAAAGAAGTGCTCCAAGGCAGAGAAGGCAGAATTGGTTGAAAAGATATTGAGTCTAATTGCTGGTCATACTCATGATGTGAGTACAAGCATTTAGGGATGAATCAAACTCCAAGCAAGTTATTCACATATTCCAGTTTCATTTCAAAAGATTTTTTTATTGATAATTGCTTTTCACCTCTCTCTATTTAATTGTAATTCCAGGTAATTTTCAAACATGACACTGGACGTGTGATTCAGGCTTGTGTTAAGTTTGGTACAATAGAGCAAAGACAGAAGTTATTTGAGCAGTTTAAAGGTAAACAAAAATTTTCTTTTAAAATTATAGGAACTATAAATTTATTTCAATTAAAAATGATTTCATAACTAATTCAAGTCTGGTTTCCATTTCTGCATTTTAGACGATTTTGGAGAACTTATCAAGTCAAAATATTCCAAGTTCTTTGTCAAAAAATTGTTAATATATGGGTAGGTACTTTCTCAGCATTGCTTAATTAACCCAACTTAGCAATTTTTACTCAATAGGATTCCAAGATGAGGGTTTTTCAATTTCATATTTTTAGTTCAGTCTGAATATAGATTTTAAACTGACAGTGATACTGTGTTATTTACTGATTTCTTTTTCATTATCAGAACTTACATGTTTTAAAGATAAATGAAATAAAGAGAAAAATGTATTCAAATTAATGGGAAACTTTGGTCTTTTCAATCAGAACAAAGAAACAGCGTGATGTTATTATCAAGTGCTTTTATGGGGAAGTTCGCAAACTCATCAGACATAAGGTGAGATTTATATAGCATAGTAATGCTGGCAAGGCATTTTATGACAATAGCTAATACATCAAGATGTATATTAATTTATGGCTAACTTAGTATATTTTTATTAATTTTTAGGAGGCATCATCTATTCTAGAAACTATATACAGTGATTATGCAAACTCTGCCCAAAAAGCCCATCTCATCCAGGAATTCTATGGAGCTGACTTTGCCTTTTTCAAGGTACTGTAATCTACCATAGAAAAACAAAAAATAAATAAATAAAAGGAATTGTGCATTCAAGTGTTATTTTGTTATCACTTGACTCTTCTAGATATTTTTAGAAAATGACCATAGATACAGATCCTATACATGTGATCTGTGTAATTTTACTGTATTGTTAAACATTATTATGTTAATGGTTATCTGTGATGAAAATCTTAAATAAGTTACATGATATAACCAACTTATACTTGTGGTTGTGCTTGTAGTTGTGCTTTCCTTAACTATCATCTGCCTTTGTAGTCAGCAGAGTTAAATTCATTGGAAAAAGTTTTGCAATCTGATCCAGCAAGGAAAGCTGGAATTCTCAAATACATGAAAGATGCCTTGTTGCCTCTTATAGACAGGTAAAGTTGGAAGATGAAAATATCTTTAATTAATAACCTTTAATTCTTTTTACTCTATATATCTGTATTAGCGATTCTTGTTTTTTGTCTGTCATACAAATCTTAGTATTCGATCAAACAATGATCCCTAGCTTGTGCATTATTGACCAAGTGCAAGGTTAAGATAGCTGGATATTGGCCCTGTTCTTTTTTTACATTTTTATGGACAGAGACCAAGTAGAGGTCCATAAAAATGCTTGATGAGAATCAGAGACTCAAGAATGACTTGTTTATTTCAAAAGCCAGGAAAGAAAGCCAGTTGTGTTTGTGGTACAATAAACCCATGAGGGTCATTTACGTTTTCTTTATTTTGACTGTCTTCTGCTGCTTTTGCACCATTGTCCAAAAGTAACAAACTTTGTAAGTTCACGTCTTTTGCGGGATCAAAGCTGTCAATTCCAAGCAGGCAAGATGGGTCCTTCTTGCCCTCTTGGGTAGCTGTCAGAACACAGGATTCACTTCATATTTCCCACAGTTGCTGCCAGCTGTGTTATAATTTTCTTTATTCCCATCACTTGTTTGCTTGATATTGTGTTGATATTGTGAAGAGGCATTCTGTCTCAAGTGGTCACTAATGGGAGTTGAAGGGGTTAAGCACTTTGTACCCATAGGCAAGTAATTATTATCAGTCAAAATCAAACTTTTTACATTAAACATGCTTAATATTCATGTAAATATATTTGAACACAGGATGAAAATCTGTACAATTATTTGTCAAAGTTTAAGATGATATTGTAATTAAATTTGTAGAGCTCATCAGTGGAGATAAACAGCATAATACTAATTTATTTTTTATTAATTTTTTTCCATAGATCTGTCATTGGCCATAGTATCATTCACAGAGTCCTTCTTGAATACCTCACATATGCTGATGAAAATGCAAGATCAGTACGTACTTCATCCTCTTTCTTGAACTACTACTTTGTGAAGCCTTACTTCTAATACATAGCTGTATCTTTTCTGTAGGAAATGATAGAGCTGATTAAAGATTCTGTTGTTCTCATTCTTCATACTCATGATGGAGCCAGAGTTGGTATGCATTGTTTGTGGCATGGAACAGTTAAGGTAAGTCTAGATTCTGTTGTCTATTTTTGTTGAGATCAGGTAACTTTTTAATTCTTTAAATACCTTCTGTGTGTCTCATATGTTTACCGATTACAATTTTATTAAGCTGTTTGCATAGTACCAATTATGAAGTAATTTTATTGAGCTTTTTGACTTAATAATACCTTGAGGAGTATGCCTGAGGGGTTAAGGTTGGAATAGAACGTTTTGATTAGTGAATGTAACTTTACTTATTCAAACCAACATATAGTGAGTTAGTAAAAATCACTTTAATTTAAAATAATTTCATTGTACAAACCCCCACCTTTATTTACAGACTAATGTTTTGTTTTTGTATATTTTTCAAGGATCGTAAAGTACTTGTCAAATCCTTCAAGAGTTATTATGTGAAGATTTGCAAAGTAAGAATTGTATTGTGCTGTGGTATGATATAATTCATATGTCAGGAGGTCTTTCGCTTCCCTTATAGCACACTTCTTATCAGCTAGTCCACCAATGTCTTAGGTCAGTTCCTTACAGACTCAAGTTGGTTCCCTAACATTATAGGTTAGTTAGCAAATAACATTATACATTCACTTTGTTCCCTGACATCCCAAAAAAGTTAATTAACTTCTTACACAAGGGCTCAAATTAAATTTCAACTTGGGCTTTACTCAGTGTTACTTATCACCCTATATCTAACTTAAATCTTTATCTTTATCTTTATTAATCTTTAATAATAATTATGCACAAGTTAGCGATAATGAGATGCCAAAGCCAGAGGCTTATATGGCATAGGTCAGAGAGTTACAATCTGCTACTAAATTACAGTCATGAAATGTTGGGCCATTGTGTGTATCTCTCTTGGATTTCAGAGGTATAAGCATAAAGTTTAACATAATTATCCAAAGAGAAGTGTTGTTACATCTCCATCTTTGACTCAAAGATATGATGGGAACAGTTGATCATGAGAACAATTCTACAAACATGAGTAGTTGACTTAAAAATTAAGCCTTGCTCTCTAACTGGCAGGAAGAATTTGGACATCTTGTACTGTTGGCACTATTTGACTGTGTTGACGACACAGTGCTTGTCAAGAAGATCATGTTCCTGGTGAGATTAAGACTGCTTTTTCCTCCAAGTTTATGCATGTGGCTGGTTTGTCAAACAGATGATGATTGAGGTGTGGGAGAAATCTTAAAACAGGTCATTTTTTTTCAAAGACACTTTTAAACAGATACTCGGGGAATTGATTGTAATTGTTTGGAGTGAGCATCTGACTCCCAATTAAAGCCCACAAAGAAATGCAATGCCTTCAGTTAGGAGAATCATCTTTACATCTTGAAATTGAAGATTTTTAGTATAACTTGTAGAACTGGAGACTTTGGTAAGTAACAACAAATTCATGAATATGTTGTAGTTCAATTTTATCCTTGGTTCAAATTTTATTTTCCTTCGTTTCAAACTCATTATCATACACTAACATGACCGAGAACAAAGGAAAATAAAATTTGAACCAAGTATAAAATTGAACTACAACATATACAAGGAAGATTGACAAATTAAATGACTTTGAGGCAAAATATAGTGGACATTTGCTATCAGAAAAAACTACTGCGTGACGTTATAGATGATTTTTTTTCTCCCATTACTTGCCAGGAAATCCAGCCATCTCTCCAGGAGTTAGCTGCAGATACGTATGGAAGGAAAGTGTTAATGTACCTGCTCTGTCCCCGAAGCCCTGCCCATTTTCATCCCACTACAGTGGAGCTGCTCAAGAAAGGGGATGGAAACTCCAACAGGTGAAGTACCAAAAGTTTTTCCTTTGATTCTTTTTGACCAGTTGCAATAACAGTCCAAGTCTTGATAATATAAAAACCCAGACTTTGTCTAGCTTGTTGTGAATAAGAGTTTCTTATTCCTGCTAATATCCCTTGAACACGACATAAGTTCATTCATTTCTGCTTGGCAAAGGAGAAAGTTTGTACCAGTGTTGGGCTCCTTACCTTGTGTTGAAATAGCAGTTTTTTTCAATAAGCAGCTGCAGGTCTACAAAATTAATGTAAACTGTGAATTTTTTAATCAGATTTATCCACTTTTCAGGTTTGACCAGTCATTTATTTTCTCTACCATTAATTGTTCCTTTTTTCCCATTATTTTTCCTTATTTCAGCAAAAAAGATTCACATCAGAGGCAAAATGAACTTCTTGAAGGAATTTCACCCACTCTGTTGGAGCTGATAGAGAAAAATGGTGAAGAGTTGTTATTTGATAAAGGAGGCTGTCAACTTGTTCTAGCTGCTCTTCTTAAATGTGCAGGTACAATTACCTGATAATTTCAACTAAAATTTTTTCTTTGTCCAGTCAAACCGTCTTTGTTTGGACACAAATCATTTGTAATCAAAGAAATATTTGCTACATCATGACTATCTCATTAAATCTGAGCCACCCATGAAATAGATGTATTTAGCACACTTTTCTTGTATGATTTTGGGTACTAGCATTGGATTTTAGACAACTTCTGCATGCAATTGGTTTCACCTTATCCTTAAATGTAAATCCGGCCGGACCAACACTCGAGGTCTTAAAATATTTGAGAAGAATATGCTACCTCTCTATAACATCAAGAAATGGTTAGATATTCTAGTCTTCTCGGATAGGGATGAATAAATGAAGGTCCCGTCTCCTGCAGGGTTAGGGGTAGGGGACAAAACTTTCCCACGCACGAGATTACTGTGTGATGGATGTCCTCCCCTGGGGTGGGATGGGTGGGTCAGGGTTGGTTTAGGTGGGTGAACCTAGTAGGGGACTACTTGTGCTATTGTTCTCTCACCTGTGCACTGTACAAATCTATAAAAAAAAAAAACAAACAAACAATCAAACAATTTCAATTTTATTCATTTTGAAGGAGATGTGAAGCCTGCTGTGATGGCAATTGTGAATTTAGCTAACAAAGATCTTAATCCCTCGACTGAAGACGAAGTAAGAAGAATCTTTGAATTGAATTAGTGATTTACTTTATGGTTTATTTGTTTCTATTAATCTATTCTGGTGCTAGGCTCGATTGCCGGCTGCTGTTCAGGAACTGGAGCCCATGCTCCTCTCCTCTCCTCTCCTAGGCCTAACTCCAACCTCCTCCTCTCTTCTCGAGGAGGAACGAATAGACTGGACTCGATAAGGCGGCAGAAATTGAGCCTATTCTGCTGCCTTCTTGTGGGCAATCACTCTTTTCTAAGATTGCTGGTGAATTCTTTCAGTATATGTAACACAATTTTTACGTATGACATTTAATTGTCATCCCTGCTAAGGATCATGTAGTGAAGAGTGCAGCGGGTCATTTTGCTTTGAAGAGGCTCATTAACCAGGACAAGGAAAGACTACAGTTTGAAAAGAAAGGTAAAAGTGTTGGTATGTGTGTTGGGGACTGGGGCGGACCATAGATAAGATTTTTGACTGAAAAATTTGTCCACTTAAGTGTATTGCTTTTCATCTCGAGTTTGATCTGAAATGTGGGAATAAATCGGTTCTGTTTCACAAACGTGATTTGGGACTTGTTAGGGAAAATGAATGTTTTACCATGGTTGGCTGTAATATCACCATCTGATCAGTCAATTTGCCACAAGATAAGATAAAGATAAGAGTACAGACAATGCTACTCGCATCAACGTGTTACGCATCATATTCTCCATACTATTCTGTATACATTTCCTAATGTGCTGACAAGGAGAATTTTTTCAACAATCAAGGGCTGCTTCAGTGAATGATCATTTGCTGTATTCTCCTGACCTTAGTATGTGACTGAGGGGTGATAATGTAAGAAGAAAATATATGTTAATCACTCTCAGCGTGTTCTTTTCCATCCTATCGTTTTTACGCGTTATTTATTTGCGTTTCTCGCTCTGTTCCTTTTGTTTGTCCATAGGTTTATCCTCTCCCTCTTTCATTTTCTTGGAAGTTACAGTTTCTTCTGTGATTAATATCTATTTCTTTTCCTATTATTTACAAAATCAAAATAGTTTAAAGATGTCTTTCTTTCCACATAGATGAAGTGCTGTTCAGTAAACTGCTGCTTGATAACACTGATCCTCGTATGTTGTTCGAGTGGTGTAAGGTGAACAGAGGAGCTTTTGTGGTCGCGAGGTGAGCTCGATGCTGTTGAGTAATCTTGTCGTTTGTCATGCTATCTTACCCGGAGATGTGCTTCTCCTTGAAATTTGCAGCCTATTATCTAGTATTTCAACTACTTTGATTTTAAATTTTGGATATTGTTTTTCTTGCAGTTTACTCGAGAGTTCCGTCCCCGGAGTTTCAGATACAGTAAAGACACATTTACAACCTCGTATTTCAAAACTGAAGAAACACGATTCCAAAGGCGTGCAGATCGTGTTAAAACTTCTCTCAAATTGATCGCGACGACAGAATTGATCGTGCCTCATCCCCCTACCCTCCCCTCCCCCTTCCATTCCGCTTTTACTCTCTCTCTCTCTCTCGCTGGGGGGAAAGTGATGGGATGTACAAAGATGCATGTCGATAGGATTCAGCCAATACCACTAAAAGTGTAGATTCCAGTGAGGTGAGGTAGAGATGAGTTTTTAAAGTTTGCCCTCAAAGCTGACCATCAAACTTTATCCCCATTGTTAGTTGAACTTCTATTGAGGTCAGAGGGTCCAGTTTAGATAAAATTTCATCTCGCTGCGCGACAGTGAAGTTCGAAAATTCAGGAATAATGTTAATGATAACTGAGTAAAGCTGCTTCTGTTACAATGAACAATTATTGAGTATAACTTGCCCTGATGTTGGTTACTTTCGTTTAATTGTGTAATCGACCACCCGTCGTTCTTCGTTTATACGTTCGGTTATCTATCGTGTTTCGTCTTTCGCTTGTCGATCGTGAGTTTGTTTATCGTGCGTCAGTCATTACTTTCGTTCATTTTTTGCTGATTGTTTGTTCGCTTGTGCGCTTGACACTCGTTACTGAGACACACGTCTTTTTATTACAAGCTTGGAAACATTACATTGAATTTATCATTCAAAAAGTTCGACGAAATTTACAGTTTACTGAACCATTAACGATCACATAGAGGCTACCAATGTTCCTGAAAACGATAGTGTTACAAAAACCTAAGCAAGCCTGCACCCCCTCCCCCTTTGGAAGCTTTTATCAATTTCCTTGCCTTTCAGAAAGGGTCTTATTGTGGAGGGAGAGGGGAGGGGAGGGGAGGGCTTGTTTAAAACTTACAGAGGGCATTGTGGGATCGTTGTTGTTCTTTTGAATTGTCACCTAGATTTAATGATTATTATGCACAGTAAAAACGTGCCTTTGGTCGAATACCGACGTTACTTAAAATGAAAGCTTATATAGACTTAAGAGTACAAGTATATGTTGTACTGTAAAGCCATCTCGTTCAAACAGATGGCAACGAACGTGACATTTAAGAGTTCTCGATCAGGGGGGGAGGGCAGAAAGAAGCCTTGTAGAGCAAAAGACATGTCAGTGAGCGGGGGTGGGAGTTTACTTGAACAGTTACTTTATTTATCCTGCGATTTTGCGACCCAAAGTTAATCAGTAGCTGTACCATGTGATGTACTTTCTAAAAACAGTTTGGAAAACTTTGTTTTACCGATGTCAATGTTACAGAACTACTTAATAGAACTCTAAGATACGTTATCCAAGGCACTACAATATCTGAACTGCTGTAATTTACTGTAAATCAACCAACGAGCTGACATTACTGTCAGCACCGACTAAAACCTCTAATACTTGTTGTGCTCTCCGTTAGTGCTCCTTAAAAAGAGGCACTGGGAACCAAGCTATCCAGGTTGTTTAATTTTCTTCACTGTGGTAAAAAGATAAAAAACGAAAAGTGAAGCGTGAAGCGTGATCTCATGGTAGAACTCGCTCGACTTGTCTCTTTGGAACATTTTATGTTCGTTTTAAGTGATAATTAAAGTGAAACAAAGGTCTAATCGTTTGAAAAGAAAATAATTTTACAAAGTAAACTACTGATCGGTCGCTCCAGCTGTTTCTCTTTTGAAGCCTTGTAGTATGTTTCTCCATAATATCCTAAGCTTTATTTGATCCTATAAAAAAGGGGCAAGTGTATTACGTTACGTAATTGAAAGAATTCCTCAAGATCTTTCCCTTGATCCTTAGAGGGCTTAGAGGTCCTTCTCTGAAGTGACCACCTTTAGAGAATTCAGAATAAACTCGAGAAGGCCAGTCCTATCACGAGTGTTCTTTGGGTTAAAGGAATAATAGGATGAATGTAAGGGGCATCCCTTGAGATCCCTCGAGGCTTGGAGGTGCCGCAAGGACATAGATTGTTCCCTCCCTATCCATAGTAACAACCTCTGAAGAACTTACCCCTTTTCCTCAAGAAAAAAAAAAATGATCGAAGTGTCATCAAATATATAATTGAAAATAGCCAGTCCTAAGAATCTGCGAACTGGTTATCTCCATAAAAAGTAACTTTCTAGAATTAGCGGCCCCTAATTGTCAAAAAAATGCGCCTTTTGTAAAAACTCAGCGCAGCTTATATACAGAAAAGACATCTCGTCACCAGTTCATTCATGTAGGATCAAGGGCGTAGCCGGTGGGGGTCCTGGGGTGCTCGTGACCCCCCCCCCCCTTTGGTAAGTCTTCTTTAGAGCAAACAACCTACAATATTCAGGTGGCGAAAACGCGATGACAATATCTTGGCCGTAAAAGCCATTGATATGGGCCTTCATGCTGCGATAATACGACTGAGCCCGCTGATACACGCGGGAGATCGGAGAGCAGCGATGAAGATGGTGAGTAGCCTCTGTGACCCCCGTTTGAAAAATCCTGGCTACGCCCCTGAGGGTATAGCTGGAGGCTCTATCTCGCCTTTACTGGAGGGTCTTACCTATCTTTCCTCTGTTCATTTAAACTGAACCAGTTTCTTGGTAGTTTAAGACTGCGTTTGCTATTACTGAGAAAATTGTAACGACTTACTTCCGTAGTACACAGCAAACAGCTACAGTAATAGACACCATACCCAGAAATATAACGGCAATAGCTACGGCCAGCAGAATCACTATCACCTTGCGATCTGTGAAAACGAAAATCATTTTCTAACACTGAGCTGAAACTGCGAAGTTAGGATTATTATCTTCTCACTCATCATAACTGATATTCAGTCCGGTTAACGTGAGCATCTACCATCCCATAATCCAAAAACAAACAACTGATAACAAGTCAGGGTTAATGTTGAGCTAGCGGGGGGGGGGGGGGGGGGGGGGTAGGTGCGCAGTTGCTCAGATACTGAGATAGATAAACCCTTTCACTCCCACGATCTCATTAATAATTCTCCTTACTCTCTGCCATACAATTCGTATGATGTTAGTTTGGAGAATTTGGTATTAGATCAACTAAAAATCCCCATGTTGATATTTTTCTGTATTCTCAACAGTTGTCTGCTTGGTATCGTATTTATAGTGTAAGGAAAAATTCTGTCGTGGTCACGCAGGGGAATGAAAGGGTTAAAGGGAATCCAATATCTATCTCTGCCAAAGGGACATAAAATACTAAAGGATCTAAAATTGCCAGGATACTTACCAATTTCTTCCATACCAGTCCCCTTATCTTTGCCTCCTTCTTTTCCTGGCTTTCCAGTAGTTGATGTTGGTGATGTTGAGGGCTCCATTGGTTGTGACGTGGTTGGTAACGTGGTTTTGGACGGAGATAGGGACATGGTTTGTGAAGTGGGTGTGACCGAGGACTCTAACATCACTTGTGTCACTATAAGCGTGGCTGTTTGAGGTGACATGGGTTGTGACATCGAAGGTGTTGGGATGAGCTGTGACATTGCGGGTGATTGAGATTGTGACATCGTGTCCTGAGTGGGTGATGGTGATGGTGAGTCAGGTTCTGCTACTGAGGTAGGACCCACTGATGTCGAGGCTAAATGATGGGGAAAAAATTGAAGACGCTTAAAATCACCTGACTGTTAATAAATTTATAAAGGCTGATAGTTTCGAAAGAAACTGTTTGGGGCTGCGTCGGTGGGAGTAACGAAATAATTTGGATATATCAACAAAGTTGAAGTGGTAAATTGGCCACCGTAACGATTACACAAGCTGACGTTTCGAGCGTTAGCCCTTCGTCAGAACGTAGTTAATAAATTTGGCTTGTTTAGAGAATAAGACTGTCGCCGCATTTTCTCGTTACCCCTTGTTTGAAATCGATATCAGCCTTACTGTATCATCTGGGCAACCAGCCCCTACAGCCCTTGGAATAGATGTTTTCCCGTCATTTTTTCCCTATTAATCATTGATCTATTATGTTGTTTTTGTTTCCACCATTGTTTTAAAAAAATTAATATGTCTTAAGATTATAATAATGATGATGATGATCGCTTATTCAACCTTTTTGCAGCATACACTGAATTACAAAGCGGGTCATTAATGACAAATACTTATATGTTACACCTAAATATAACTATTAGAGATATCAATTAAATGTAAATATTGAATACTATGTAAATATTAAATACTATGACTATTAAGACGAATCCTAATTTGGTATTTTAAACGTGGTTCTGGTATTTGATGGTGCAAAAATTTCCGAATCTATTAGATCTTGGAGAGGCAGGTACAGACACAGTTTCTCCTGTCCTAAGGGCATATTATGGTCTTGTGAATGCACAACGCGGCACTAACTTTCGTAGTAGGTCGGAAGAAGAGTGACTTCGCTTGAGGAATGTTATGCACGCATCCTCCCTCCTCTGGCACAGAAAAATTAAGCCTGATTTTCTTAAGACCGATGTCACTTGTTATTTCCTCACCAGTTATCTAAGTTGAAGCGGATGATATCTACCTTACTTAATGAAGCTGGACAGTAAGAATTGACGAGCAAATTCACCGATGCATTTTTCCATTTTCTGAATACTGGGCACAGCGTTTTGTGAATGATGATAATGGTTTATCTAAAACTGTATTTTAAATGAGAGTATTGATGGGCCAAGTTCAATGTATCAATACCTTGACTTCCTTTTGAGGCTTTCAGAACAGTTTTCTGCATATGTTTTTTTTTTTTTGTTTTTTTGTTAGAGGACCTTTAAGCAAATGAAAATCATATTAGCAAATTTCAATTAAAAAAAAAAAAAAAACTTGATTGTCTTGTAAGGCTTCAAGTAGGGCGACGTTTTATTATCGAGATATCGAGCATTGTCTCATTAATATCAGCAAGGAGCCTTGATAATTGTTATCTTCCAGCCAAAAGCAAGTTCACAGCCCATCTGTGAGAAGTTCGAAACCACCATGTTGTCATGATAATAGATACATCCTAACTAGCTGTAAAGCTCGATAGATGAGCTAACAATAGAGTTTTGATGCCGTTAAACATTCAATAATTTTAACGATCGCTAACGCGTGTCTTTTGAAAGCGAAGTCAGTAGTATCACAAACCTGTTTCATTTGATCTCATTTTTATTCTTAGATAGAAACTCATGTTTTCGTATCGAGAAGAGAAAACCTTTGAACAGATTTAAAGCTTACTGCAGTCTTCGTCGTATTGCGTTCTCCAGTTATGTGTTAGTACACTCTTAAATGTCAGTTCATGCCGGGCTATCTGAAAAAAAGTGCGAGATATAAAACCGGATGCTCGATGGGAGCTGGATTCACCGGCCCCTAAACGTAGATGATGTACTATTTGTTATCTCTACCCTAAGGTTGATCGTCGAAAAAAATTTGGAATATACCTTTGAGAGGTACCAGAAAAAATTGCTAAATACCAATTCTCAGAAAAGAGTACTTTTTTCGACAATTGTTCTAGTATTGCATTGCTCTCACTTTAATGATTTTAGCTTTCGTTTTTCAAGTGGTTCCATCACGTGTAATTAAAAGGTATGACAAGAACCTCATTAAAAGTCGGTATAAATTAAGCAACTGTGGGAGAGAGAGAAGTAGCTAATGATATATATTTGATAGAGTTTTGCATAGTACGATAAACGACACTTGATGTTGTAGTGTCTTTAAGAGGTTCAACTACCAACACATTGTCTGGTGAACGGGTCAGTCACGAAGTAATTTGCAACGGGTAATGTGGGATAATAAAACACGATTAAATAGAGTCTGGAAGTATTGATCTACAAGAGTTCTTTAAAAATATCCTGAAAGTAAGGCGTTTAAAAGTCCTCGTCGGTATGAACTATTACTCTGAATGGTTATCAGGGTAATATTTCAACATTTCGCGATCTGGTGATATTGTGTTTTGCTTTGATTGCAGTTTACACGGCAACCGCAATAAATGTTGGTTAAATAATTGAATTAATTTCAAGCGGATCATTTTGAATCTACAACAAGAACGGAAATAATTTTTACATCTTAAAGTATCACTTTCGGCGGTATGAACGCCACCATTTCGCCAGTATTTTTAATTTTCGCGTTATTAATCTAAATAGTTTCAATCTAGAACACAATATTATTATCATTATGATAATATGTAAATTCATAACTCTCAGGAAGATGGGAAGTGCTTCCATTTCTGCCTTTTTTATTTTTTTCAGCTGGAATTTACACTTGCCGTTTCCCCTGAAATCAAAGTTTTCGCTCGAGCGATTTAACTATGGTGTGTCTTGCGCCTGATCTAAACGTAACAAGACCGCAAGAAAAGGATAAAGACTTTCTCAAAATAAAAAAATTATCTTGAAATTTGGATTCTTTTATAGTAACGTGGGTTTAGTTTTAGCTGGTTAGAGCTAAGGAAAGAAAACCCCCGAAGGGTTCAACAACTGGTCATAGGTGTGCCCCAAAGCAAGTGTGTAGAGCGTCAAAAGACTTCATTTTAGAAGTGTTTATTACGATATTCTGGCAAGCAACAGCAGGAATTATTTCATTCTTAAAGCCTTTTTTACAATATCATGGCAACTAAAGGAATGAAAACACCTCTTGCACCTTTTAAAACTGTTCTCAATTCTTTTACCTGAGTCGCCTTTTGTCACTTCGCTGCAGCTGTGGGTGAGTTGGGAAAATTTAGTCTCGGAGAAAAAAAATCTTAAGGAAACACTTTTGGAACTCAGGTTGTTGGTATTAAGAAAAACAGCTAAAATATATCGCAAGAGAATGAGAATACCCAAGCAATCATAAGAAGTTAATAATTCGTTACTTTCTTGAATTGTTGTGACTACAGATTATTCTTCTCAACGTATAACTACAACTATCTCGTGTTAAAAAGTTAATGAACACCGAGACAGTTTCTTGAAATATTCGCCGAATCGAGCTACCACAAACTTCCACCTGAAGCATAAATGTCGTGTTTTTAAATTCTGTTGAAGCTAGATAACTGTTCTCAGCAATAAAAATAAGTTATTCTACTTACGGGACTGGCCAAATACCCCACCAATCACGAACACAACGATAAATGCGATCACTCTCGCCCTGGTACTGCACGCCATGTTGCTCTGTTGCTGTACTTTGAACGTTTAAGCGGGGTTTGATTATAAACTCCTTGGCAAGGATTGTCTTGTCTATAATTAGATATTGATCGTGACGCCGTCAAATGTTGCCTGCCTAATATTACTGTCCTTGCTGATTTTCTGATATGCTCCCAGAAGGTAGTTGTGAATAATATGGTCTAAGTTTAACTAAAACCATGAGTTATCAATTAGGTCAAGACTATGGACCAACAAAGGGACATCTCAGTGAAAATACTAAGTGGCCTTTTTATCTCATTAGCTGAAATGAGTAGATAAGATTGTATTTAAATTGGCGAGAGACAGTGAAGTTGGTGTAAACGGGCGTTAACAAATTATGACGAGCCAACAAATCGTAAGGGTGACTGAGTAAGGGCGACGGTTCAAAACCCCCTAACAAGCGGGTGCTAGTGTCATTAGGCTACATAGCTCAGTATTCGGCTAACACATTACCATTCTGTAGATATATATGTATGTTATTCAACAGCCGGGAGGCTGGGAAATTTTGGGATAATTTTGGGCTGGGAAAATTTTGGGTATTGGGAAAACCTGTGCCCGAGGTCTTGGATACCGCCCTCGGCCTGGCGGCCTCGGGCGGTACTCAAGACAGAGAACGCAGTTTTCCCAATACGGACTGACCTGGGATGGTGAATAACATTTTTATGTAACTGGTATGACAGACACACACGAGTTAAATGACCAAGCGACGATCTTCTCATAAAAAAAAAACCCACTTTTGTTTATTTCCAACGCCGATTAAGCTTCGAAGATTTACCTCTGTTCCGTTTTAAAATGTTACGGAAAGTCAAATTGTAATTGAATGCAAATTGATGTTTTGGAGTTGTCAGTCAGCTTCTTTGTTTTCTGCAATGGTGTGTAAAATCTTGTCTTTCTTCCACCGAAAAGTTAAAGTCAGTGAAATTCTTTCCGGCTGGACACATGGGGATTTAATGCGACTTTAATTCATCGAATTCCTTCGGTTTCTGTCGTGAAATTTAGGGTAGAAATGTCCAGATTCAAGGCAATTGCGAAGAATAGGCGGAAGTTTATCTATAGAAGAACTCAAAACTTCGCTCAACGTTTCACAAACGAAGAAATTGTGTTAAAGAATTCAGATATTAACGAATGAGAGTCACATTGATCAAAGTAATTGTTAACTGCAACTACCTCTCGTTTTAACTTTCGGAGTTAACTTTTGTGAAGGATTATTAGATAACGAGATGTTTTAGGCCGCGTGTCAATCTCTTTAAAAGCAAATTTAGTACCACAAAACTTATTTCGAAATCAATTTTTGCGGAAAAACCAAAGTGATTTCAGAGCGAGAGAAAAGAAAGGATTAATGTTATTTATCGCCAAAAGGTCGTGACCGAATTCTTCGTCTACAAATTCGGCTCAGCCGGTAAAATGAGATATATTATTTGTGAAAAATTGTAACGAAACTTGTGATGTTCTGCTAAGTGACTCAAGCGAAGCAGATACCGTCTGCTGTGAGAGGGCCGGATGGGAGAATACTGCCCGCTCTCGGAACCAATCAGATCGCAGGATTTATAGAATACCCCCTGCGCATGAGCTGAGAAAAAAGTAAAATCCAGAAACTATCTGAAGTGTTAATTTATCGGCAGTGTTTGCTTCTCACTGTTCAGGGTAAAAAATATGGAACATTTGAACTTCGTACTGGTTTACCTCTGCCTTTGCATTGGCAAAGGTTACTATAGTAATGATGTTTGATGCAAGAGTAAATGAAACCTTTGGACATAGTTAATAGAGGGGACTGGTTATGAAGGCCGGCATACACCAGAGAGCTAGGTTATTGTTCGAGTTTATCGAAGCCAACCAAGCGTGACCGTGCACACACACATTCAAGATGGCTGGGAGCTAGAAGACTTGTGTACGTGGTTTGATCTGTTTCTAAAGCGTCATGATGTAGTTCTGTCCACCGGGGCAGTTTATTTAAGTATCTAAACTCGAAATTACAATGCCTGGCGACAACTGTGCCATGTTTGGTTGCGGTACATGTCGTAGAACGAAAGGAACCGGCATATTTAAGTTGCCCTCGCTGCGAAATGCCGAGTATGAAAAATGGCGCGCAGAGTGACTAAATCAGCTGACCAAAACAAGAATTATCGACAAAGATTTCCAAAGTAAAATCGATAAAGGAAATGTATTTACATGTGAGAAGCATTTCGATCCAAAGGATATCGAAACGTGTAAGTACTCGAGTAATTTTTGTACTTTCAATTCTGTTCGGCCAGCTCACAAACCTACACGCTTACTGCAGTACCAACAGCAGTTGTCGTGCTTATTCTTATTAATATCGCTTTTCTTTTTTAACTGGTCAACCAGCATCAATAGTCGAAACGAAAACATTAAATTCTATTTACAATATTTTTTGTGACTATCATTATTGAGTCTATGATTGAAGTTGTCATGTATTTGCCATTGTTTTTGTGCTGATTTTCACAAGTTTAATTCTCGTAATAAATTCCTATTTCGCTATTTACAATTTACTGATTACTTTTTACTGTTTTTGAGCAGGACATTGTTTCCAAAAATAGATGCAATTGATTAAAAAATTCCACTTTTGGAGAGTGAGTGCACCTAATCCATGAAACATTTGTTAACAGTTACAAAATATCAATCAAATGGTACCAGGAGAAGATCAAGAGATAACTCTTAGTCCAATGACTATATTTGATGGATGATTTTTGTGCTCACTCTATTGTATTAGCTAAACTATACTTGTTACCATTTCAATTAGCTGAAAGTAATTATAAACCGTGACAAGTATTTATTTGATTCCAGAGAGATGAGGAACATGGGTTTCATGCATACAGTCAGTAACAGCTTTTAAATGTAATGATAAAATGTTAATTTTGTATAACATCAATAACAATGTTTCTTGGGAAAAGTATAAGCCAGGTAACTTTTAATGCTCATTAAAATCCTCTGAGTCAATCAATATGATTTTAGCAATATGGTGAAAAGTCATTAAAATTTATATTGGACTAGGACTGCCTGTCATTTTCAGATTCTTTACAAGCTCTGCTTATTTCCTTACGTAGCGCTTTGGATTTCAACTGCTTTGCTTGTACCTTATGCTTCTGTATGATATCCCTTGCGAAAGAAAAGGAGCGGACTCTTACATACAGTTGAATGATGTTATGTAGTACATCTTTGGCAACAGTGCTTTCTGCTGTAAGTTCAGCATCAGACAAAATTTAATGATATGCAGAGACTACATCTATGTCATGGGTAGATCTTGATATAATGTCAGTACAATCAAGCTTTCTTATGTCAGCCTTTGAAGTTATATCCCTAAAATAGAGCTCAGCTCTTTCAAAAATTGTTTGGGTATTCTTTGTTATTGTCCATAAGCCTCCACGATTTAAAGATGAAGTTTAATGGCCTCTGGCTATCTGGAACAGCCTGGTCATCTGACTTTCCAGCCTTAAGAATTGCTTGCTCAATTTCTGGTGATTTTTTACTATTTGCCAGTTTGTTATGAAGTTTATGTAGAACATATCCTCCTATGTACTGTAGTCCAGCTTCTTCTTCAGCTGAGAGTTTAGTTAATGGTGCACAACAAGTACAAATACTAGAGTCTTTGGCTTTCTCCTTGCTGCTAGCCAATATAAAATCTGCCACTTTGGTAGATAGCAATGTCGCTGCATCCCCAGACAACCCCTCAAAATAAATTACTGCATTTGAGACTACTGCAGAGTAGAAGGAAGTATAGAATGGTTCCGCGTTGCCAGACTTGACCAAGCGACCATACATGTTTGATTTCGCTTATACCTCCATTTGCTGGATTTGTGTGGTAGGTATTTATTTCCTCTCTAATCGAACTTGGATACGATTTCTTTCCAACTATTTTGGCTTTTGCTTTGTGGATGATTTCACAATAAATCTCGAAGGTGAATTACTCTGTTTCCCTTGGCTTTTCGGACGAATCTGCACCATTTTGGTCTTTGTGCTTCGCTGTTGTTTTCTCTCGCTTTTTAAACTGATGAGGAAGGCTATAATACTTGCATCGTCAGCAGCTTCTGTAAAGTATTCATCTAGCTCTTCTTCTTCTTCGTCTAAAATGTCTAAAATGGCATCAAAATCGTCTCCGAAAATAAAATGTTCGCTACTATCCGCAATGTTGCCTTGTAGTGCAAATCAAGGATGTGCACGTTCGCGTGACGTCACAGTACATTTCAACCTCAGTAGCTGAACAATAGGCCGGCCCTTTCATGTATGCCGGCCTTCATAACCAGTCCCCTCTGTTAACTATGCTTTGGATTGTAAATCTGAGCTCAAAGTTTGAATTGTGAACATCTAATCGGGCCAGCGACAAAAAGATTAATTTGAGCCGTTACAAACCACTTTTAATCTCTGATGTCAAATCAACAAAGAATTTATTTTGCCAAAATTCAATTGCGTTCACAAGAACACAATATCTTACCTACCGCAAATGTGTGAACATCTTAAAGTAGCTGGATAAAAGAAATCACCGGGTCAGAGGATAATTTTACCAACAACATATAGCTCAAAAGAAATCTCAAAATTGGAACATTTTGTCTTTCGAGCTGCCAAAGAAACCTTTTCCCACAGCCCACAGCTTGTTGTAACAAACTACCTAGTGTTTGTAAGTTAAACATAAGACTGAAAATAAGGTTTGTTCCCTTGTCATAAATACAGATTTTCTTATCCTGTTTTTACAATACATGAGAGGTAATTGGAAGCTTTCATCAGATTTGCACCAATGATATAACAGAGTTACGGATGGAACCTTACCGAGCTGGATTTAAGATCTCATAGCAAAACTAGACAATTCCATAAAAGGCTTCTCAACTTCATTTTTATCTACATGTTTCTACATTTGTACCAAAAATCAGTACAAAATGATAAAATTTGTATCTAGTTCCTAATAATTTACAAGAATGTATCTAAGAAAATGTGAATTGATAACTTTTTGCTATTAAATATGTACGGTACAAACAAATCAAATCAAGCTATCTGTCCATTCAAACCAGGTTTTCAGTGTTTCAACGATCCTCACAGTAAACTGGTGAAGTAAAATTTGAATACCAGTTTCTTTCAAACACAGCTTGCAGCTGTGCACGCACAGTGCTGCCAGTTTCTGTTTCATTGATGACATAACCGATGCCACCAGTGTACAGAAAATAATCCGCTGACCAGTTAGATGTTCCAATATACGCAACACTCTCAGTGACCATGTATTTGTTGTGGTTCACCCGGGCGAAAGGGATCTCTTTCGTGTAAGGCGGTACAGAGTATAGTATCTATTGAAGGAATACATATATAAAAAGAATGTCAACCTCTTCTCACATGGGCATGCAACTTATTTTTTAATAGTTATCTCAGCAGACTCAAAGCAAACTTTAAGGTAACTGCAATTCCCCTGAACACTCCCAAAACTTGTGATTGCTTAACAAGCATCATGGAAAGACCAGTTAGTACATGCACTGTGACTGGTCAGTTTAGCAGGTCGTATTTCACCACATGGCCCACTTAAATAAAAGTTTGTTTAAACTGAAATAATTCCCCTCTATCTTAGGCAAGACATATAATGAATATCTTATTCATCTTGTTTTCTTGGTTCACACTGTGAGTTGAGGAACCTCATTTTTCTCACTCAGATTTGTGGTCTGTGCTTTGCGCTTGGGCCATAAATTAAAGTGGAAGAAACCTAGTCCATAACTTACGGTGCAGACCGAGAAAACAACCTTATCAGTGGTATGTACTTGAGGAGTTCACTGCAACCCAACATCTTACCCAGCAAGTTCTTATAGAACTTTGAGAGGTAGGTAACAGAAATATCCTAAAAACGAGGGAAAAAATTAAGTTTTACGTGGTACTGTTCTTACCACTTGGACATAAGCTCCATTAGCATAGTTCAAAGCAGCCAGGGATTGAAGGTAGTTCTTCATATCAGAACGCGTGTGATTCCACAAGCTGGCCATAAGTAGCACATGTACTTTACGATCAAATGCTGCACGTCTTAGAGCGTCATCTATATCTGGCCAATAACTAATGAAGAAAGAATGTTCAAAGTCAACAATTTTGATAGAATCTTTCTTTCTTAATTAGCTCTAGAGTTGTTATCATTTGAATTCTTAAGTCACTACTAAAAAAGAGAACCATGTATCTTGTTTCTTTAATAGCAAAACCACTTAATGTTGGTTTTTGATGCTTTCAAGATATTTTTATTGACTGACCATCACTCATAAATTTGATCAGCAGAGATTTGCTGAAGCCATAGTTAGTTTAGTGGGCCATGTTATATGCCTATGCAGAAGCAAAGGCATATAAAAAACCAGGAAAGATTTATTGCTACTCGGTGTTTCCGAATCATCACAACTCCATCATCTAGAGACTAGCTAACTAGCATGCAACTAAGGAAAGGTACAAGATAAGCATAACTTACAACAAACAGCCTAAACAAACCTTGGCACGGATGAAATCTGATTGCACGTTCAGTGTTGGTTTACGCATGCGAATGTATAAAATTTCTTTAACGAGGCAATCAATTTGCCGCTACACTTCATGATGATTTGAAATTGCTCATTGAGACGTTCAGGCATTTCACAATTGTGTTGGAGGTTATAATGTTTGTAAATCGAAGATGACTTTCTAGTGTGCCCTTCTGTGCGCTCGTGTAAGTGACCACGTGTATAGCCCACATACCCTGCATCGCACAGGTTACATTTAAATTCATAGACGAGACATTGTTGGTTGACAATAGGGGGTTTAATCTCATGTCGCTTAAGTTGTTGCTCGAGCTTAGGGCTTACAAATACTGGTTAGACAGTGACGTTCAATTTGAAACTTAGATTGTTCAGTCGTTGTTTAACATAATTAGCTGAAGACAGGTCCTTGAAGGGTAACACTACACTCACAGTCTTCGACGGTACATCAGGTGATGGACAGGGGTCTTGAGATGAAATCCTTCTCTCAACAAACCGCTTGATTGTAGTTTCAACCAGATTCCATCCGCGCCAAGGTGTTTGTTTAGGCCGTTTATTGTAATTCACGCTTCTCTTGTACCTTTCCTTAGTTGCATGCTAGTTAACTAGTCTCTTGATAACGGAGTCATGATGATTCCGAAACATTGTGCAACAATAAATCTTTCCTGGTTTTTTTATATGTCACTTATAACGAAAAGAATAAGCTCAGAAGTTTTTTACATTAATGTTGTATAGAAATTAATGCATGAATAACTTAGTCAACAACTATTCACCAGTGTTAGTGACCAGTGGTAGGTTTAACTGAGTAAAAGTGACTGAACATCCTAGTCCTGGGAACAAGAGCTCAATGCAACATTGCAAACACGGAACAAAGAGGCAACAAAGATGAACTCACGTTCTTTGAGGTGTATACAAAGTTGTTGGAAAATAATCCATCACAGAAACATAAACAAACTTTGTTGCACTGTCAATAACTCGTAAGATGGCTGACAAATCGTCAGTACGCCCAGGTGGACAAAACTTTGGTGGAGAAGAAGACAAAAATACAGAGGATGCAATGGATCCATTAAACTTAATTTGAGCAGGAGAATCTGTAAAAAAAATAAAAAAAGGTGTGTGGAATTATTAAAACTGAACAGCGTTCCATTCTCTCCAATAAAGTCAAACCATATTGCCACTTCTACTCTTGTAAAGAAGCTAACCAGCAATTACCCTGTCAACCTTAAGAATCTCTAACATCTAACCCGAGGAACTTACCCCTTCAAGCTTTAATATATGTCAAATATCACATCAGCAGCCTTATTTCAAGGGGATATTGTGGTATCCAGAGATTAGAATCTAATAATTGTAAATGAATAAAGGCTGATAGTTTCTAAAGAAACTGTTTGGGGCTGTGTCGGTGGGGGTAACAAAATAATTTGAATATCATCAAAGTTGAAATGGTAAATTGGCCTCCGTTACGATTATAAAAGCTGATGTTTCGAGTGTTAGCCCTTTGTCAGAGCGAATGAAAGCAAAACGTCAGCTTTTATAATCGTAATGGTGGCCAATTTACCATTTCACCTTTGTTGATATATTCTAATAATTGTAAAGCTGTCTGAAATCATAGTGCTGGTGTTAAAAAGAGCACTAGTCTTTTAAAGTTGCTTTGGCCTACCAAACCCTGGTACTGTTAATGGACTGGGCCCTCACCAGCATTGATGGCTGTTTGGTACTTTTTAGGCCAGGGATCTGGGATCTTTGATTCTTTGGCTAGGTCCCAATATACCTCAAATATTTTGCTAATATCATTTGCCATGAGGCTGCAGTTGTAGGTAATAAGTCCAAGCTCTTGTACCTATGCATTCAAAGAATTGAAGCATTCAAGCTTTGAGTCAAGAACAGTGAAACGACATTAACATTGAAATATGACAAATTTTAAGCAAGGGGTGAGGTGGGTTGGGGATAGTGGTGGATAAGGGGGATGGAAGGGAAAGGGGATGGTACATATTGTAATTAAAGATGTGGAAATCTTTGCAATAAAAAAAAAAATAACCTCTTCTCACTTACCCTGTGAGTAAATAAGGGCTTCCCCAGAATCATTGTAATAAACTTGAAAGGAAAAATTCCGTGTAACCATTCTGACTCAGATTGAAAATTAAAAGTATGGACTGAGCCCTACCTGTGTGAGTGCTCTCCAGTCCTGATTTGCACTGCCAACATAAAAATGTTTACCATCAACGAGCCACATCTTAGTGTGCAAAATCCCACTGCCAACCAGACGTGATATGTCTAGCGACCGTACATCTGCAAGCCCTTTCTCTGAAAGGATGTTTGTGTCTATCTGAGGGAAAGCTTTAGTTGGAGGTGTCTGTACAATTCTGATTTTAACACCTTGCAGGCAAAACAAGAGGTAGAATAAATAACAAGATATCAGTAGACCCATTACAACAAACAAGAATCAAGTGCTATGCCAAGTGTCCAGCACCAAAGGTGCAGGTAAGGGCTACTCCCATTACATTTAGCCTAAGCTGAGATAACATGCTCCATGCTTCCCCATACACATGAAGTCTGAAGAAGATCTGTCGAAAAACCAGTGATGGGAATTCAGGAAGAAGGGAACATTGTCCCTTGGGTTTCAGACTTATCTTCAGTCCATTACACCCCATGCTTGTTCCCACATCTGTAAGTGTGTAAATGAAAGCAGAGGTAATGCTCATTGAGTTATAAATTTGTAGGGTTTGGCCTTTTCCCTAAAACAGGTTGTAGATAATGTCTCTCAAGAATTTTATCAATTTTGAAAGTCTCAAGCAGCCCCTTCACCTACCCCTAACCCCTCAACACCTCCCCTCTTGGGTGACACTATGCTCCATATAATACTACCTTTCCCTCCCGCCTCCACCAAGACTCCCTCTTAGCACTTAGGTGGGTGGTCTTCTTAAAATATTACGCATATGTTACCTCTTTCGCATTCGATAACATGTACTTTTTGTTCACACAAGTGCCTCTACCTGCTTTAGCAACATCTTGTATCTTCTTAAACACATTCTCTCCTTGTTCGGTACTGTAATCTGAGGTATTTGTATCGCTTCCTTGTAATGTCCAATAAAACGATGCTATGTCGATCCGCTCCTCTGCGATGTCTAGAAGATTCATCCAGCCATCATAGATGCTTGGATTCCGAACCGATCCTGCGGAGAACGTGACATTTTCAGGAATGCTTTCCACTAAAGTTATCGTGCAATTGCTGGTGAATGGTGCAGTTGCTTGTTGAGTTTTTGCGTCTGAGTTCTTGATTATGAGTTCTATCCCAACCACAAGAAAGATAATGAAAATTCCCATGACAATAACGAATGCAACCAAAAGTTTTCTTGTTCGTTCCGTTAACGCTATCGGCAGACGAACTTGTTTCGATTGCGCCATAGACACCTCTGTCTCCTCCTTCATTAGCAAATACGAATGGTCTCCTTTAGCCATTTGGTCATTAATTAAATCTGGGACATAGTTAATGAGTGAATAATAAACTATGAAGTATCACCTGGAGTGAGTATCTCTATCTCGAGGTGTACCTCTTGAGCTTTGTGACCAGGCCACATGTCTGATCCATATTCTAAGATGGCGGTGCAGCGTAAGTTTATAGACAAGGGCCTTCTGAAGAACGTCATTCGACACACTGATGCTCATAACAAGGTAAGGATATGATATGCTGATGTGACTTAACTCAGGTGAAAGCTATGTTTGAAACGAGTTTGAAAAAGTAAAACAGCTGTGGTCAAGTTATGTGTTCGTCTTTATCGAGATGTGGTACTGATATGGAAACTCCACAAGTTTTTGTGTCTTGTTGTAGCAAGTCCACTGTCTCTTTTTTTTTCAGTTATTGGTTAAGATTATATTCTTTCCATGATTATATTAGTCAAGGGAAAATACTAGTTTTTACTCTGTATAAGCTTTAGGATTATGTATTTCGTTTATCATCCAGTTTTACTGGTAATCTTTCTCTCTTTTACTTTGTATTATAAATTCGAAGCTATTTCTTATTTGTTTATCATTAAGATTCAAGAGGAGAGTGAAATGTGGAAGCAGTATGAACTGATTAACAGTAAAAACAAGACGAGCAATGCTCCACTGTCAAATGACTCCAGAAGGTATGAACTGATCACAGGCTTGCAATTGTAAAGTGTCCTCACATGGCATTGTGTTTACATCCCTTCAGCTCCCAAGAGTGGCTAGTATAGAATTTCTCCTTACACTATCAATACAATACCAAGCAAACAAGTGATGAGAATTTGAAAAAATATCAAATAGATGGTTAGTATTAGATCCAATTCCAAATTCTCCAAACTCACATATTAGCAGATACTAAAGAGAACTACTAGAAAGATCTTGTGTGTGAAAGGAATGTACAGCTACAAGTCATGCTAGATTGATGAAAAATATATGTAAGACGGGATGAAATGAGCTTAGAACAGTATAGAGAGAAACTTTCAATTCTTTATTTTGTTTTATTTTATGGAACTCCAGTGAAAATGGAAGGTTTGGTATTAGAAGATCGTCTTTGTCAACATATTTTTCTAAGTCACTTCTTTTCTTCTCCTCTTCTTCCCCTTTCACACTACTCTACTGCTACTATTTTTCGGCTTTTTTTTATGGAATGCTTAGAATAAGAGAGCAAGATTTTTATTATTGTTCTGTCCCAAGGTACATAGGAAAAATGAGATGTGATGATGAAGATGGCACTCCACCACCCAGAAGTAGCTATTGGACACAACAACTCTTTGATTTTGAAGCAAGTGATTCTCAAAGGTTTGTTTGCTTGAAGTTCATCAGGTTGATGCTGAAATGTGTACCTCTGTAACCCTTTGTACCCTAACATCAGTATGCATTTTCTCCATACTATTCTCTATACATTCCTTGAGGTGCTGAAAAGACAAAATTTGTTTAACAATCAAGAGCTTCTTTAGTTTATGATCTTGTCCTTTATTCGTGTGACATTATTGTGAGGTTATTAATCAACTACTTTTACTTCTTTTGTCTGAATTATTCCTTATAGGTGCATTATACACTTTGTTTTGTTAGTGTTAAAATAAGATAAAATCTTCTCATTGACAATTTTGTATGTTCTTGTTGGTAATGTAATGGATAAAGTGTTGAAAATATAAGACCAACTTTTGTGTAATCCACTTTTAAAATATGAAATATTAACTCAAAGGTGTATGAGTTTGTTTTGTTTGGAATTTTTTTAAAAAAAATTTCTCTTTAATTATGGTATTATATTTTATTTTTAGATGGGGACATGAGGGTTACAGAGAACTCTATCCAGACGAGTTTGAGAATGGAGATAAAAGGAAAAAAGGTCAAAATTTTGACCGAAAGAAAAGAAAAGAAGAAAAGTATGAAATTATGGTTTGTTTCTTTTTTTTTTATTGAGGAAGCAAGTTAAAGGAAGTATTATTTAAAAAAAAAATTATTTACAGATGGGGGCATAGTGGTTTTAAAGAACTCTATCCAGAGGATGTGAATGAAGAACTCTTTCGAGAGAAAGATGAAATATCTACAATAAAGAAGAGGAAAAAGAGAAAAAGGTACAGTGAAAGGCCTTAGTTGTAGTATGTTAATTTAATGAAATGCTTTGCATGGCTGAATGGGTTTAATGTAATTTCAAAAATGCCAATATGATTACCTCCCTGGGAGTATGTTGTTTTTTTTGTTGAGTTAAATTATTTTACTGAACTTTTACTGTGAGTGATGAAGCTTGGGTTTGTACAGTAGGGGAGAGGGCAAGGGCTAGGACTGAGACAAGGACTGAGGTTGGAGCAGAGCCTGGGGCAGAGGCTGGGAGTCTGGTAGCCGTCATGATATGATTGAAAGAGAAAAGCTTTTTTATTGCAGAATTGACTCAAAGAGCAAAAAACACAAGAAGGTAAAGAGAAAAAAGAAAGAAAGTGACTTGGATTCAGAAATATCAAATGAAGAAAGTGAAGATAATGATGAATTGCAAAGGAAACGACAAAGGACTAGTAACGCCAGAAGCCATGAACACAGTTTGAGAGAGAAACAGCAAAAATATGATAAAAAGAAGAGAAAACGACCATCAGATGAAGAAGATTTGGGGAAAAGTTCAAGGAAAGAGATAAGAGAACAGAATAAAAAAGTACATCACAAGCACAGGTCAAAAGCGGCAAGAAAAGGGAAACACGAAAGAGACAGATATAGAGAAAACAGCACTGAAAGTGACTCTGATGAGTCGAGATCACACAGAAGGGGAAAATATGAACGAAAAATACACAAGAAAAGAGTTGAAAAAAACCAGGAAACAAAGAAGAATGAGGGATCATTTTGATTGCATTGGGGAAAAAATGTGAACCAAGCAATTATCTTGTCATAATGAATAAGAAAAACAAAATGAGTAAGGATTGCATGATAATGTTGCGTGACCAATCGACGACAAGCGTTTCAAGAGGAAGAATCACTCGCGTCACGTATGATTGTTTTTTTGAAAGGAAAATATATCTTCCGACCAATTTTATTTTTTTTTTATTTGGATCTGCACGTATTGTCTTTCAAGAAACGTGTCTTTGCCTAATAAACGAAAACTTTTTCGGTTTCAGTCTTGTTCGATTATCGAGTCTTCTTTTTTTTTTACTGTACTTCCGTTTCATGTTTCATGTCGTATCTTTAACTCCGGTAGCATGGCGAGGCACGAATGAAAACTACTGTACGTGGTTTTAACTTCCTCGAGGTTTCGGACTTGTGTATGTGTTGTCACGTTTGTGCGCTGCTCCTGGGGTGATAAGTAGCCACAGGCCCTTAAAAATAATTCGTTGAATATCACTTCTGTTTTTAATGCTATAAAGAGAGAAACAAGAAAAGCTCTTTGCTTAGGGATTCCAAAAAATTGCAATTTAAGCAAATCCACCCCACTGAATTCTTTATGGGCTATCCTCTTTTAACTATTCTTTTAAGTAGATTTCAGTCTCTTATATAACATTTTAATATAAATATTTGAGAGATGTTATATAACGTTGCTATTAATTATCATGGCTATCAAAACTACAGTGCGGGAGATTATATCACTTATCTATATATTACTTGCCAAAAAAAAAAAGAAAAGGGGGGGGGGTGTTAAGTATGCTCGTATCGTGGTACTAAGACTACTTGATCCCACACCCAGTTCTCGCGCAAATTCTGGGGAAAATGGGAACTAATTGACCACCAGCCAAAAATATATTGCATTTTAATTACCATATCCGCAAGAAGCTAAGAGATGCGGTGACGTACAGTAGTACAGGAATCTAACAGAAAACGGATATGGTCACCGGTAAAGTCGATGTTAAATGTAATGGTTTTAGACATATGATCAAAGGAAGCTTAAAAAGTGTTCAAAATCCATGTTGTACTAGAAAAAAAACCGTGTGAAACTGGGTACAGTATTCAAACTACAAAACTGTTAGAGTCGAAATTGACACGAAAAAAAAAAAAACGCGAAGTTTATGAAAATTACCGATGGCACAAAAATAGGGTTGATGTACCGATTGAAAACGGAATCACTAAGCGAGATCCTGGGTTAAACATACAGTCGCAATATTTAAATTACCACCGTGATTAATGTTCTAAACTTTAAAGACGCACGGTTGTGCTTACCGCTCTTACTTATCAAGATAAGTTGTTCACAGAAAACGAATTTTTCAAAAACGTTCTTTAACAAAGTTGATGATTTTGAAGACGGCCGCCGTTTGCGTGTCGGTGCGGACGGAAAACTAGTTGAAAACGGAGGTTTTCAAAAACGCTGACGTAACTTCTGTTTGAGTTTGGGCGGGATGTTAAGACACTTTCACACGCATATGCATTCAAGCCTTCTGCTACCGCCGCTCAATACAACGTAAACACAGAAAAAGTTTTTGATTAAAAGCATGCGTGAAAACTTTTTGTTACGTTTTCAATGTGAAAGCGCCGCAAGGCCTGGGTTGGGCATGAATGACTTCTTGAGCAAAATGTCGACCGGAACAAAATTGTTTTTCATAGTCAAGTATATGCGCATCCGCCCCCTCCCAGACATGCTAATGCTCTATTTTTCATGCTTTATGGCGAATTCAAATCCGCAAAGAGAAAAGTTTTTTTTTCCATATCAGTATATTTATTGCACCACTATGTGGATAGCCTATGTTTCCCGTTCGTCTAATTAAGGTAAGTTCAAAATCCAAGTCACTATACGTGTTAAACTCTTCCTTCAAGATTTTGACTCGTGTCTGTTCGGTTCAAGCAAACCCTCATTATGGGTGCAGTCTCCCCGCCCAACTTGCTATTGATTTCACGTAATACTGTGACTACCGTATCCTCATTTAGAGATACAGCTTGCACAGCTAATAAAACGTGCTGATTTATAATAAATCGTGCTGATACCGTGTTTACTTCCTTCCTTGTCAGTTAATAACATAACTCTAGAACACATATATTGAAAAATATTTTGTCCATTAATTTGCTACATGTTGTTATGGTTGAAATTTATGAGATGTATCGAACCTTCTTTTTCAGCCTTTGATCTGCCAAAAAAAAACAAAATTAAATGTAATCCGCACATTTCCTATACGCTGAATTATTTTTGGACCTTAAAATGATAAAAAAAAAAAACAAAACAAAAAAAAACGTGTACATATTTATTTGCTTCCGTTTTTTATTCACCTACGTGTTTTATTTAGTTTTATGGTCTTTTTTTGGACAATTCAGAATAAGGTGAAGGAGAGTTCGCATTTCAGCTACTTTCAAGGCGGTTTTTTCGAACTAAAAAAGAATTCAGGAAGTTCTTAGAACGTCAAAAAAGTGTTGCTTAACTTCCGAGCACTCAAATAACAATAGATTAAAACTGCTCTTATTTTGATTGAGTGATTTTGAAAAATGACAATATCGAACGAAGTGGAAAGTAGGTTTTTCCAGCGAAAACGCTCAGAATACGATTTTGTTTGTTTTTCAGGGAAGAATCGTTGTGAATTATGTTCGTTCCAGAACGGGCTTGCCCCCAACATTAGCATATTGTTTGCTTTCGCTGTCGTTTGACGTGTTTTGTTTTCCGGTGTTATACCAAGAATTTTCCGCTTCGAATGTTAACGACAACTTCATTTCTGGGAAGGGGTATGGCGTTAGTTTTGCTCTGAGATGGCAGGAAACAAAGTGATCGCTTCCCGCTCAATTTAAAGCAATTATATATTAATAGATTGCTTTCAAGTTCATTCGGTTTAAACGACACAACATTCTTGATTTCTTTGTCTTGAATATGAGCAATTGTAAGAAGTGGACTTCTCCCCTCCCTCGTTCAAAAGTTCTTTGTCGTATCCGGGTCGTTAAACACGTGATAGATGTTATAAATTTGCTCGTCAGCGATTTGCCTCGGGAGTTGCCGAGATCCATCCGTGGTAGTTGCACGATCGCTTAGAGTCCTATCAAGGGAGATTTTATTATTTTATTCGACTACTGAAGATCAGGAATGACACAAGAAACTGTCGAGAACGAGACAGACGAATTCTGTGGAGAAAATATGGGGTAAGCTCTATAAAACTCGTTTTTTAATCACTCGGGTGATGTAATGGCATGGAAGCCGGCAAGCGAATGTTTTCCCGGGAATCATGATCTTCGCAGAATTACCCATTTGCGCGATTGTTAATCCTTTCACGTGAACATATTCAATAATATTTTGTTTAAAGTTGGACGCATAGAGCTAGCCAATTTGACCTTTTTTACAAGTTTGTACATGAGGATTTTAATATTCCAGGACTTGTGTTTGAGTGTCTGATGTGAACTGGCGTACTCGTGACTCGCACAGAACGCACGGTCAAACTTGTACCAGTACAAAGTCAAATTATTCAACGAAAAAGGGCAGAGTAAGGCGTATCCACTCAAAATTGCTTCTTCCATAGCTTAACCGAATTCATGTGGTGTTTCTGCAACGTGTTTCATTTCATAATTCTTTGCGAAGTGTCGGTCACGAGTTTTCACTTAGCTTCAACGCCGCTGAAACGTTGCCGAAAGTAGCTTGAATCTTTCAAACGTTGGTGGTCGTCGATTTTTTTATTTGATTCGTGGAAAATTGATGTTTCTGTTTTTTTTTTTCTACTTTTTACTAATGGATGAGGTTAAGCCAAGATAGGGAAAATTTCAGATTTTTAAATCTAGTCGAAATAATTCTATGAACTGCAACGTACAAGCAGTTGACGTGTTGTTGAATTTCAATTTCGTTATGCTTCTATTTAATTACCGAAGTCACGAGACAGTACAATTGCAAATACGCTGACTAAATGACTTTGTTCTTGTTCTAAAATTAATTTTACTTCAACAATGATTCTTACTACAGTGCAGCATACCTTCAGTATTTTAATTTTCTGTAAGCGTGCCTTTTTTTGCGCCGGTTTCCATAGTTGGAAGAACAAGCGGATAATTATGGATTTCTAAACAATACGTCGCTGAATCATTTTCCAGAATTGTTTCATCAGATCAAATGAATAATTAACACTCGATGTTGCTCAATTTTCCATTTTTTTCAGGGATATGGTTCATAGACTGAAAATACGTTGGGCCCTCCAAGAAGTTTTAAATCAAGCACAAATCAATGGCCATTTGGTGTGCGGAGTGCATGATGCTGCGAATGAGCTCGCCGTGTAAGTAACTCATATTTTAACTCATCTGTGCGCGTAAAAGGTTATCTCAAACTTGATGTAAAAAAATCGGAATGTGAATTTGAGAATTAAAACAGAAGACAGAAATTGGCAACATGTAGGCAACAAAGGAATAAGGTCAACAAGAGATGGGCAATATTCGCAAACAGTTGTGAATCTTTTTAAATAAAATTATTATTAGGATGAGTGCAAACAATGAACTAGGCAAGTTGAGCTCCAACTTTTTGAAGATTTTTATAGTGTATTTGTAGCTTCCCTAACTCTTTTGTAGCTTCCCAGACCAACACTCAAGGTCTAAAAATAATTGAGAAGAATATGCTGCCTTTCTATAACATCAAGAAATGGTTTAGATATTCTAGTCTTCTTGGATAGGGACAAATAAATGGAGGTCCCGTCTCCTGCAGGGTTAGGGGTAGGAGACATTAATTTCCCATGCACAAGATTACTGTGTGATGGATGTCCTCCCCTGGGGTGGGATGGGTGGGTTGTTGTCTTGCGTTTCATACATGAGCCTCTGGCTCAGGCAATATGGGTAACCATGCCCCACGTAAAGACATTAAACCTTGATTACTATTACTATTACTATGGCTTACTTATGTTTTTATTTCTTGTCATTGTAGTGACCTGGATACAATAGGATTATGTGTGTTGGTAGAAAACCCAAGGGCAGATCCTGGGATCCAGGTTCATTGCCGACTAATTGAGGCATATTGCTGGGAATGTGCCATCCCTGTTATAAAGGTGAGCAATCATGAACAATTTTTGCATTTTATTTTTGGAATGAAAGTTGAAATACATTAGAATTCTTAAGCGCACTTTAAGTTTTTCTTGAGTGAGTGATTAATAAATGAAGTCTTTTCTTCTCTCTTTTACCAGGTAAACAACAGCTGCAAGCTGTCTGAAATGACAAAACATCACATGGTTTTGAGAGAGCCACTACACTGTGTTCTTGTTAAGGTACAAAATGCTCCATGAATTAATTTTTTATATGATGGAATTTTCTATTTTACTCTAAACTCTAAATAAATATATTTTTTTTACCTCTGGAAGGATTTACATATTCTAGTTTATTAACCCAAAATATAATATTGATAGTTTACTTTTGTGTATTTTTGTAGAACCTTTCAAGTGATGTGGAATCAGTTTCCATTCTGCTGCAGTTTGCACGTCATTCACCAGCCCCTTTACTTAAGATTACATAAAATGTCATAGGAGAAAGAGGAGTGGTGAGATACTTAAACTGTCAAACATAGTTGACATGAAGGCATCAGCTGCACATTGAGCCAGCAGTACGAGTGGTGAAACATTCAAGATAGGTACACCCCATTGCAGAGGAAAAGTTACATAGAAGAAGAAAAAAACTACAATAAAAAATTGTATTAGCCTATGTAATGTTAAGAACATAAAGCAAAAAAAAAAACAGAAGGGCACAAGTATAGCCCTGGTTTACAAATAAACATAGCAGTATGTTGAATTAAATTTTCAAATTCTTTTAAATCATTTAAAAACATAAACAACAAAATGCATTCTGGACCTATTTATTGTTAAGGAAAAATAAAAAAGTTGTTAATGACAACCTTGAGAAGAAAAACTGTATCAAGAAAAAAAAAGAAAGGTCTTAGACACTGCTCAGATTCAAGTGACATAATGTTTTGTTAGTATTGACTTGATATACATTAGTTTTTGTAGAGAAGAGGACGTTAGGTTCATTTTCCCTCTAATGGTTCTTAGTAGCTTTGTTATTAAAGCATCTGTAATTGTATCCTCTTCAGAGGAACTCGTATTATTGTTAAACATTATTAGTGTTGCTTGTAGATAAGCAATGGTCTTAATAATGTCTTGAAGAAAAAATGACATATATTAGCATTTTGTGTTTCATTTTCAATATCACAGTTTTTATTTATTTACCATTCAAATATTATGGAACACTTAGGAAAGACTTTTTGGAAAACAACTGTTAAAAACACTGTATCTAAATGGCAAAAGTTATATCTTTATTAATTAAATTCAGGCTAATCTTAGAATCTGATTGGAATTATTTCAGCATGCCAGGGTAGCATGTGTATTGAAACTGCAGGGCAGTAATTAATCCAGCCTTTCATGACTATGGACATCATATTATTTGGAACAATGAACTTAGATCAAAATTTTACCCAGCGCTCTCAGCTCAAATGTCAGCTTTTATAGCCATTATTACACATTTTTGTGAAATATTTTCATCACATTATTAGCAACCAATTTATGATTTAGGAATCAGTTGCTGTTATTTTAGGCTAACTTGTGAGACTGAAAAAAGTTTATTTAAAAAAATGTACTGTTATTGTACAAATATACTGTTATCCCATGATCAGTTTTAGAGAAATTTGTAACAAATAAAAATGACACAATTTTTAAATGTTTTGTATTTTATTAATAATCCAATGAAAACTCTACATAACAATTTCATTATAAATACAGAAACCACCTAATTATGTATCCATGTTTCTCTAAGCACTGGCCACTTATATAATTTTTCCTAAAATTTTTTAACATGTACAAACTGTGCATTCACTCTGGCGAAGGGCTAACGCTTGAAATGTCAGCTTTTTAACTCTATGGTAGCCAATTTACAATTTCAACTTAGTTGA